GTACTAAAGATGCTAGTTAGAACTTCTTGACACTAGCAGACTCACTTCTACTTCAATTTTTCTCAAATCTGTTAGTTACCTTTGGTATTAGATGTTTGCTAGAATTTTGTGCTCATCTCATTGGCACCGAGTTGCATAAAAGTTTACTTCAGGTAATGGCTTTCACATGACTTCTTGTTGTTTGCCACAAAAACTTTGCTATACCAGGGAGGTGCTGAGAGGGAGCAAGGCCTACTTCAAATACTGACAGAAATGGATGGATTCAAGGTTTCCATGTCACAGGTATGCATGTTTTGAAAAAAAACAGTAATTAAATAATGGTGTTTATTGTATAAGCAATTGGGGACAAAGTGTTTCTTAGTTTTTGTTTACTTAGGTATTACTAATTGGTGCAACGAATCGGTTGGATATCCTCGATCCTGCTCTATTGAGGAAGGGCCGTTTTGACAAGATTATAAGGGTCGGCCTGCCATCAAAGGATGGCAGGTTGGCCATACTGAAGGTTTGTTATTCTAATTCTTCCCACATTTCTGTCTCTTAACCCCATCCCAGTATGGAAAAAGGGTAAAAAAGCAACTATGACATAGATAAAGTACAAGTGTAGATTTGTGGGATTCTTATCATCAAAGCAAACATCACAGGTCCATGCTCGAAACAAATTTTTTCGCTCTGAAGAAGAGAAGGATACTCTACTTCAGGAAATTGCTGAACAGACAGAAGATTTCACTGGTGCAGAACTCCAAAATATTCTGTAAGCTCTCTAAAGCTGTAATGATTGCAACTTAAGACATTTAGATAAACAATAATGACTTGAATGAAATGAACAGGAATGAAGCTGGAATATTGACTACAAGGACAGATGCAGACTACATAGGACGAGAAGAGCTTCTTGAGGCCTTGAAGAGAGTGGGTGTTAATTTCTGAAACACTATGATTTGCTAAATTTGTTTCATGTAATATTTTTTCCTCTTAAATAATGCAGCAAATGGGCACATTTGAAACTGGCCAAGAGGATCGTACTGAGGTCCCTGAAGAACTAAAACTGCGACTTGCATATCGAGAAGCTGCTGTTGCTGTTCTTGCATGTTCCGTTCCAGATCCACATTGCCCCTTTACTGAGGTTTTATAGTTACAACATTTCAGTCTTTGTGAAAGTCACTTTTACATTAATTTACATATATATTTCTTTGGTTAATTTTTTTTACAGACTAATGTCAACTCCATTCGTAGTAAGCCTAATATGCGCTATACAGAGGTGGCAGGCAGAGTATTTAAAAAGAAATCCGATTATGTGAATGCTGTAGTGCATGCTTGTGCTCGTGAGTAAAAAGCTAGTATATTTACATGTATCTATATCATTTTTATATTGATTTCATGAATTTACTATGGAGTACAATCGTATCATAGTTACACTTGCTATGCGCAAATAATCATAACTAGTCAGAGAGGCTGAAGTTAAATGTGTAGAACAAGAATAGAGAAAGAATACATTTACAAAATGTTAGAATATAAAAACCTTTTTTGGGCCTACACCCACAAGCTTGAACTTTTGTTGAGTTGGTTCCTTATCATGGTATCGGAGCAGGTTCGGTCCGGGTTTGATTCTTCCAGGTTGTATGGATCTGGGTTTAGCGATATGAGCTACCCATCCCGCCATCCGTGGCTTGGGTTGAGTTGGCTATAAGAGATTGAGATGCCACTTTCTGTTGTGTGGGTTAGCTATAAGAGATTGAGATGCTAGACCCGTTTTTCCAAGTGTTAGCTAGACTAGGCTAGTTAGCACTTGACGGGGAGTGTTGGAGTTGCCACATTGGAAAACAAAAAGAAATACCACTAGCATATATATAGAAGGGTGAAACTCTACCTATAGGCTTAAGCTTTTGGGTTCACTACCACATTGGTGGTGTTAACAAAACTAGTAGCTTCAGACCAAATTCCCGCATAATCACAACTTAGGAAATAGTCATAGCAGTGATACACAAACATTATTGGGCAGCAAACAATTCAGTACAAGAAAGTAGGAAACAAATTACCCTGGAACAAACATGGCAATGCTTGGCCTAAACAATCTCAAACAAGTAACCGTTGTCTTAGGAGTTAAACACAACATTACGATAAACAAGATGCCTTGTGAAATAGTAGAGTCCATGGACTTCCATTATTTTGTGGATAAATGGTCACTATAACATTTTTAAGACATGAAAAAGGGAAAAAGATAATGTCCAGATGTTTTTGATAAAGTCTTCTGGTGAGCAATTCTGCAGAACAGTTGCATTGCAGTTCTGTGATGGAAAAGATCAAAGGTGTTTTTGTTTGAACTATGCATTGTTTTTTTTCTTTGAAGTGATTGAACGGGCTTAGGGAATTATTTAATCTGGCATAGATACTTTAATTTTGTGTAAAGTAGTAAAGGGTTTAACACTTAAGTGGCTTACAAATGGCCACACCACTGCCCAAGGTGTGGTGTGGAAGGTATATGTGTGGAACAAGTGGAATGTAGAAAAAATGTGAACCAATACCATAAGGGGCCAAGGGGGAGAGACAATACCAAAGTCGTAGACTCGTATGTTATAGCTGTGAGTTTGGAGCTATGTGGTAAAAAGCTAGTTGTGATGGTGACTATAACAACTAGAGCTTTGAGATGAAATGCAACTGTAAAGTTCATATTTGGAACAACTATTTGCTGTTTGGTTATTCTTTTTCATGGCCATGCAGCCAGAGTCATTGAGGTGGAGATGTTTGGAGTTGACAATTTGTGCTGGATTTCTGCAAATGCTACTTTAGAAGCTTCTAGGCTTGCAGAACGTTTAATTCTACAGACAGGAATGACTGCACTTGGGAAAGCTTACTACAGATACCAGAGAGATCTTGTGCCAAATGTGACATCCTTGGATTTGTTTCTTTTGATATCTTAAAAATATTTGGGTTATGGGATACATTAGCGTTGCCTCGGATACTGAAGCTAAGTAAATCATTATGATATTTTTACTTCCAGTTAGCTGCTAAAGTTGAAGCTCTGAGAGATGAATATATCCGTTTTGCGATGGAAAAATGTGCATCTATACTGAAAGAAAATCATGTTGCTGTTGAGACCATTACAGGTTCAAATCAGTTCTCAAATGATTATTTTTCTTTTATGCTGCCTGCCTAACTATCCTCAATCATTAATGTGGTCCATTAGTGTGACTAGTGTTGTGCACCTCTATGTTGATCAGACATTTTACTCGAAAAAGGAGAGATCAAAGCTGATGAAATTTGGGGCATATACAAAGGTTGCATTCAAGTACCTCAGGTAGTTCATGCACAACACTTTGATAGGTTTTATTAATAATGAGACTTAGGGCATGTTCTCTTCACAATTTATTCTTATCGAAATCAGATAGAAAGATTCTCAGGAATAAAAAAAGATTTAGATCAAATCAGATTCAGATCAGACCTTAATAAATTTAGAGCATAACGAATAAGTTCAGACGAAGAAAACGTGCCCTTAGAGCTTGTTCTTTTAGTTTATTAAGGTCTGATATAATCTGAATCTTTCTGATTTGATTTGATCTGATTTAGTCTAATATGATCAGAACCTTTCTAATTTGATCTGATTCCAATTCCAATAAGAATAAGTAATAACTAATACGGAGTAAGTAATAAGAATAAGTTGAAGAGAACATGCCTTACAAATCATGAAGATTTTTTTTCGTTGCATGTTTATAATTCTTATCATTATAGGCTTTCTTGTGGTGCAGATGCACACACAACATGTTGGATGCTTTTTCATTTGAAATGATTGAACCTGTTATATTATTGCCCTAAAATGTTTGTCCTCTTTGTCTCTTCTTCAATCACTTATTTTCTTCAACACCTTATGAATTTTTGATATATTTTAAGAGTATAATTTTTAAGTATTATTAATTTATTTACTAGAGATTTAATATTACTCCCTCCGTCCATTTTTTTAAACTTCCCATTTACTATTTCAATCGTCAAACGATATCTTCTTTTTTACATATTTTCTTTTAACAATTTGTCAAAATAAAATAGTCAAACCACATCTTGTTTAATGCAAGGTCCCACTTTCCTTTTAAACAAATGATTATATGGTTTACATCTCTGCGCTGCTCAACCACACAATATTACCTTTCTTAATAATTGTACCCGTTAAATGTGGAACCTTAATTTGGAGCGGAGAGAGTGAGACTTTTGATGTAGTTTTTAAATATATATTAATTTAATTTTTACAATTCACACCAATAATGAAATAAATTGAATTGAAAATAATTGCATTAAAACATCGTAAACCAAAACGGGAAAATAAAAAAAGAGACGAAGGGAGTACAAAATGATATATTTTAACTTGTATCAATAATTTCTCACATGTGACATTAAGTGCACATGAATTTGTGTGTTTCATCACTTTAAGAGCATGCGAGCAGTTACTCTTTGCTTGATGAACATGAAAATATAGTGCAACTAGGAGCACAGACTGTTTTGAGACAGAGGCGCATGCTATGATAAATTCAGTGTTCTATCATTCTTTATTTTTTTATTTTTTTTTGAAAACAAAATTTGAATGATTTTATATTTCTAGATTATAATTCCATTCTGTTTCTTCCCTTCAGCCGGCTGTAAGGCCAATTGATGAATACGGAGCCCTTGTATATGCTGGAAGATGGGGAATCCATGGTGCTTCACTACCTGGGAGGGTGACTTTTGCACCAGGAAATGTTGGATTCTCGACCTTCGGTGCATCACGACCAATGGAGGTTGTTAGCATCGGAGCACTCACTAGTCATTGCGTTGGCACAGTTCATGTAAAGTAATTTTTTTCCTGTGTTCTTTTTCTGGACAGACGCAGACCATTAGTGATGATACATGGAAGCTAGTAGATGGAATATGGGATAAAAGGGTTCAGGAGATTAAAGCTGATGCGGCTTTGGAACTTGAGGAAGATGAAGAAAAGCCTCAAGTTCTACTAGCTGGTCATTTCGTGTAGCACCTCATCTTAGTTTCTGGAGGTAAACAGATATGCATTTATCACTTCAATTCATAGCTGTTGTGCTTTGTGTGTATTGCTTTGTGTGCATATTTTAGCCCTTTCTTTAATCATCAGACAATCACATTGATGCTTCAGTTTTCCAAAGCTTATGTATTGACAACTTTTTTGAGACTTATTAGAAGATTGAAATGTATCATATACTGCATTGTGGATAAAATGTGGAAGTTGGATTGTCTCTGTTTCAGAATGAAGAGTTTGAAATGGCGAAGAGAAGAACAATTGTTGTACTAATTGACAGTCTTACAGATACTCTGCAGACACATTAACAACTTTTCCAGACATGAAAGGGAAAAAAAAATGAAATCAGCGAAGAATGAAAGTGTAAGTGAATGTGTTGTACGTGATGATCGGCTTCTCCTCTAAGGCACATTAATCCGTATTAGAAAAAGTACAATTGTGTGGTTGATATTAGATTGGCAATGTCTGAGGGTCCGTTTGGTATACGGAATTGGTGGAATTGGAATTGAATTGGAATTAAAATTCCATGGGATTCAATTCCATAGAATTGAATTGACCAATTCCAATTCATTTTTAGCACTACCAATTCCAAATCCACATAATTTTTGTGCTACCAAACATGAGAATTGGAATTGAACTCTTCAATTCCAATTCCATAGTTTGAATTTCGTGTACCAAACAGAGCCTGAAGTGATTTGAGTAGTGTTCCTATGTTATTTGTTCTTTTACTCCACCCGTCCTATAAAAAGGTTCATGTAACACCTCAACCCGTTCGGATTCATAGACTTTTCGAGGTTAGATTGTCACCTCAAAAACAGTAAAGCAGTTGAACGTATAAACATCATTTTATTTAAAAGAGCATGCCCAACAAAGTTGTACATGACATTATAATATAATCAAAAGAGTTTTAGCAGAACTTTATTTATAATACTACGTATATACTCTCTATGTCCTAAATTAAATCGTATGTTTTGTTTCATGATGTTTGACTGAAGTTTCTTTCAAATCATTTTGTATGAAAAATGTCATAGAATTAAAAAACAAATTAAATATTTAGAAGTTACATAAAAAGATGTACAATACTAATGGTGAGATGAATGTATTATTTTATTAAATAACTAACGAAAATAGAAAAAAAAGTGAATGAAATTTGATCTTTGAATATTGTAAATAAGCAATTTAATTTGGGAGAGAAGAAGTAGCAAAGTACGATCCTTAGCTTCATCAAACAACCTGGCCCGTCTGAGCATTTCGTCTAGCTCCATTACCTATGCGGCTATGCACATTCTGATCAAATTGAGGGCCAGGTTGAGATCCTATATTACGAATTTTTTCTAGGCTCGAATTTTTCTCGACCCGTATAGTGGGTCATACAATTGAAACCTAAGCCTACCTATATGTGCAATAATTTCTAAATAATTACAAAATATTTTTTTTAATAAAGTAATACATTAATATATTAGATGTGCGATATAATAACTATAATGAATATACTATCAAAAGAAAGACTAATATATGCAATGTGTTTTGATTGATAATGTTACTACATTATTTATTTGAATATCATTATCAATATCTAATAAAATGTTAAACCCTTAACTTTGGCCATGCTTAAATGCATTCGAATCTAACTCAAAATTCAACCATGATACTCCTTTCATCTCATGATAATGTTTCACAATTGATCGGGCACAGTAATTTAGTAAAATAAAATACTCCATCCGTCCTAAAATGATCTTCCCAGACACTATTCACATGGTCAAACTATAATAACTTTCTTTATCTATTTTCGTTAGTAATTTTGATAAAATAATATAATCATGTTACTTCTTGTTTTGTAGACATTTTGATGTAATTTTAAAATATATAATTTTTAATTTTAATTTTACACCTATAATCAAATAAATTGAATTGAAAATAATTTTAATCAATACTCGTAAATCGAACAGAAAAGATTATTTAAGTACGGAGAGAATATATAATTGAAATAAGAAAGAGAAATAATAAAGTCCACAGTGATCCAACTAATATAGAGTATTTAGAATTATTAAATGTTTCATTCAGTAACTCATCTCGTAGAGCATAGGCAATGACAAGTAGGAAATGGAATGTCACATGATGACAAGAGTTTTAATCAATCAAAATTAATCTAGTCAGCTTGTGGCAATTGAGTAGAGTGGCATGCCTTACAGTAGCAAACCACTATATTTTTTATCATTTTTATTACACTTTTTTAATTTATTTTAATTATTAAAATTTATTTTACTTTTTTTTAATAAAAATAGTTGTAATCGTTTTTTGGCAATGTTAACATTTTTGAAGTATTTTAATTAGTAGTGTTTTTTTATTTTTATAAATATTTTCATCTAATTATTTTAATTAAATTGTATAATTTCAAATAAAAACATTAATTTTTAAAAATGCATATTTTTAGTTTTTGAAAAAGGTTAGATTGTTTTAAAAAAGAAAATAGGTTGTAAAGAAAAAAAAGAAAGACAACAAAAAAAAGGTTAGGTTATTTTTAAGAAGTTAGATTGGAAAGAAGAAGAAAAAAAGGATCACATACGCCACGAAAAGGATGGTGGAAAGCCCAGAGCATTAGCAATGACAAGGCAAAAATGAAATGTCACACGGCGACATGGATTATTTCAACCAATAAAAATAATCCAGTCATCGTGTGACCAATGAGTGGAGTATCGTAACATACAGTGGCAAGTCATTGTTTTTGTCTATTTTTATACTTTTCAATGATTTTTAATTATCAAAAATTATTTTGCACATCTATTTTATTATTAAAATATGTCTACTTCTTTTAAAAAAATATTTTTTTCAATAATTAAAAATATTAAAAATATTAAAAGAATAAAAAATGAGAGAGTCATGTCTTGCACATGGAAATGAAAAGTGAGGTGAAATGATCGTGAAATGTCATGATTTGAGTGATATTTACTGACATGGCTAAGCAAGGCAAGACATTGGCATTGTCATTGTGAATGCTCTCATAAAATGCCTCATGCTTCGTGGTAATTGATGACATATTAGGGTGAGGTGAGTCATTCCCTCACCATTGCACACTTGCACTTGCTCATATACTTTCCACACTTATGTTAGAAAACAAACCACCTCAATAAATACATTCTTTTATACAATCATGGTCTAGGCAATGCCTTTCGTCTGCAATATAATCATAACATTGGATTCGTCTCTTTGATAGTTATCCATCTCATAATATTCAATTTAAATGATGGAAACGTGGCCCATCACGGTATTATGAGATGGATTGCCCCCGAGATAGTGGATCGATTTCTAAAGACGAAACTTAATTCTGGAATGTTAATGATTTTCGTCACCTTAAAAAACTTTAATTTCGCAAGGAAAGAAATCTCCCTGAAAATCGGAATGGATTGTTTCCTTCCCCATTTGGATTCTCCGTAAACCCAGCGTCGTATAGGCGACTTTACTTTTTGGTTTTTTGTAACGGTTATTAATGAAACTCAGGGCATTATTGTCTATTCCAAGCCCAAACATTATTAAAAATAGCACCAGTCCTATCCGGAAACCTAATTCTAGAATATTAATGATTTCCGTCACCTTAAAAAACTTTAATTTCGCAAGGAAAGAAATCTCCCTGAAAATCAGAATGGATTGTTTCCTTCCCCATTTGGATTCTCCGTAAACCCAGCGTCGTAAAGGCGACTTTACTTTTTGGTTTTTTTTAACGGTTATTAATGAAACACATGGCATTATTGTCTATTCCAAGCTCAAACATTATTTAAAATAGCACCAAGTCCTATTTAGAGAAACACATCATCTTTTTGTGGTATTTTCCTCTTCCAAACACCCTCTCAAGTCTCAATCCTTCCCCTACATCCCCTTTGAACTGTGTGGGAGGAGAACCCAAACAAATACACCTAACCCAATTGATTGTAGTAGTTGCACGCGTCCGATTGGTTGTCTATACACTCCGCAATTCCAGCCATCGGATTTTCCGAGGAAATATACACACACACACCATATCCACCCACGCTCCCGCATATAGATAGCTTCAAGCCTTCACCCAATAATTGTAGTTTTACTTGGGCCTCTGTGAATCAATAAGCGACATGGCGACTACCACTGCTTTGAATCTCAGCGCCTCAATCGGTCAAAATCGTTCTCTTGGTCAACGCACTGGTTCATCACTGCTCCGCCCTGCTCGCCGTGTCTCCGTCGTCTGTGCTGCCGGATCTTACGCTGACGAGCTCGTCAAAACAGCTGTAAGAGTTGTTACCTTATTGAGTGATGTGCATCTGTTGAAATTTCCCTTTATTTTTGTGTCGGTATTCATGAGCATTGCGTTCTGACTGGATTACTGATGTGGTCCTTTGCGTTAGAGATGTTAGATTTTTTTTTTCCAGTATGAACTATGTGCTTATTTTGATTTGTTGAAAACATTGGATTGTTACACTGGTGTTCATATGCATATAAAGGAAGATGTGATTAATTGATGTTAGGGTGAGAAAAGAAAAGAGAAATGTAGATGCTCATCTACTCTTTGGGAAGAGATAAATGGTGGGGTCTAATTAATCCTCCCTCCATCTCATCATCTCTGTTTTTACAAACTATTTTTATGAAATTAAAATTTGTAGCTTGAGACTTATGATGAGTAAAGAGAAATAGTTTGAAACACACGATTTTGGATCTAACAAAAAAGTTGAAAGAACATTTTCCTGAGTCAAAGGGAGTAGATGTAGAAGTGTAAGTACTGAAGTCTGAAGTTTACACACATAGCCCACCAATGTTTGAATTTTTTCTCTTTCATTTCCTCTTATCTGTGCTCAAAGTGGGCATGCAGAGCATCTCCTGTTAATGTTACATTGATTAGGGGAAAATGCTTTTGTCATCTTTGACAGCTGAATTCTTTCATTATAGTGCTACTAATAGCAACCATTCTTGATCAAATCATAACTCTTTCCACTTTCCTTCATGGGGATAGAAATCTATTGCATCTCCTGGTAGGGGAATCCTTGCCATTGACGAGTCAAATGCTACATGTGGAAAGAGGCTGGCATCTATCGGTTTGGAGAACACAGAGCCCAACCGACAAGCTTACAGACAGCTTTTGCTGACTACCCCAGGCCTTGGTGAGTACATTTCAGGCTCTATCCTTTTTGAAGAGACACTTTACCAATCTACCAGAGACGGGAAGAAGTTTGTGGAATGCTTGCGAGATGAGAAGATAGTTCCTGGGATCAAGGTTGATAAGGTATGTTCATTCTATCATGTTGGCTAATTAATGGCATGGTTTGTTTATTTATTTAATTTTGAACTGTTCTTGGCTTCTTGCAATATGTATTCCAATTCCAAGTCGTTTTGTATATGAAGATGTTTTAAGCATGGTCCATTTCTAACTTTCTTATCTCCCTGTAGGGTTTGACGCCTCTCCCGGGATCAAACAATGAATCTTGGTGCCAAGGCTTAGATGGCTTAGCTTCTAGATCTGCCGAGTACTATAAGCAAGGTGCTCGTTTTGCAAAGTGGTATGTATTTCTCGTCTCGTGCTTTTTCACATTTTCATATTCACATTCAAGGGGAGCTCTTCCACAAGGGAACTTGAATGGCATGGTAAACAAATATGAGTTTTGCAGGAGAACTGTTGTGAGTATACCCTGTGGTCCTTCTGCTTTGGCTGTCAAAGAAGCTGCATGGGGTCTTGCCCGCTATGCTGCTATATCTCAGGCATTTTTGAACTATCAATACCAGCTTCTTCTTTTTCCCTTTATAATTTGACCTTTTCCTCTAATTCCGAGAGCTTCTATTTCCCTGGGGTGTTTGGATTTAACCCTTATGTTGATCTTGATTGCCATGTGCTCATTGTTTAAACATTAAAGAAATACTGAATTCTGCAGGACAATGGTCTTGTACCAATAGTGGAGCCTGAGATTCTCCTTGACGGGGACCATTCCATTGAAAAAACTCTTGAAGTTGCAGAACGGGTATGGGCAGAGGTTTTCTACTATCTGGCGGAAAACAATGTTTTGCTAGAGGGAATTCTGCTTAAACCTAGCATGGTTACTCCAGGGGCTGAACACAAAGAGAAGGCTTCTCCAGATACTATTGCCAAGTACACTCTCACTATGCTTAAAAGGAGAGTCCCTCCCGCTGTTCCTGGAATCATGGTATGACCCATCTTCTTGCCATTCTGAAAATATGTGCTTTAGCAAATAAATCTTATGCCAGTATTAGTTGTGTTTAGGATGTTGCTATATGGAGCTGATAGCTTACTACAATAAATCAATTTTTCATAAGCCCCTTGTGGGCTTAAGTGTTTGGCATGGAAACTTATTTGAGAAGCTTCAGTACTTTTTAGAATGTCACGTAGGGTAGTATTTTAACAAAAAAGAAAAAAACTCATTTTCCTTGGGCTATGTTTTGCACACCATAGTACAACAAACTCATTTAATATTTTTTGGTTTTCAGTTCTTGTCAGGAGGACAATCTGAAGTGGAAGCAACACTGAACCTCAATGCGATGAATCAAACCCCAAACCCATGGCATGTTTCCTTCTCATACGCACGTGCACTGCAAAACTCTGTCCTGAAGACATGGCAAGGACGCCCTGAGAATGCGGAAGCTGCCCAGAAAGCACTGTTGGTTCGCGCAAAAGCAAACTCCCTGGCCCAGCTCGGCAAGTACTCGGCTGAAGGTGAAACTGAGGACTCTAAGAAAGGAATGTTTGTCAAGGGTTACACCTACTAAGTGCATGACAACTCCTTATGCTTATCATGTTGGCTGCTCTATAAACCATACTCTTCATTGTTTTCGGTCTCCCTACATTTTTTTTCTGAATAATAAGTCTGTCGTCGCGAGGTTAAGATTGCTCAACTCTTTAACTATGCATTGGATAATTTGTATTATTTTATACAGAGTATGAAGTGTTTTTTTGGACTCGTATGCTATGCAATGTTCAAAAAAGCGCTACGGCGTCTCCTAGACGGTAAGCTAGGGCCTAGTCTAGGTGTGCTTAGGTGGGGATTAATTGAGGCCTAGGCGGTCTTAAACAGGGAGAGAATGAAGACAATTATTTGATGTCTAGCGCCCTAGCAGACCTAGACAGGGATTGTTAAAACATTGAAGTTATGTTTGTTTTCTGCCTGTATTTTTATTGTAGGCTGTAGTTAAGATAAATACTCCATCTCATGCTAAACAAGTTTGCGGTTTGACATGATATAGCTAAAGTGTTGAAAAATGAAGTGATTAAATGTTTGGAAGAAATAGAAATGATTGAAAATGTGGAAGTCATATATTTCATTCTTTAATACAAAGTAATTGTTATTTTGGATTTTTTCTATAAAAAAAGTGTGAATTTTATTATGGATGGAAAAATCGGTATTTGGACAAGCTCCATAACATGTTTCAAATTATCACTAAAAAAGACTTGTATTTGGTTCAAAGAATTTGCAAGGGAAAAGAAATAAAAATGAGATAAAAAATATTCCGTAATTTTTGTGTTTAGTTAAAGAGGAAAAGAGAATGAGAATGTAAAATGTACCAAGAGATGGGAAAGCCATATTTCTCCTATTTTGGTTAGAAAATGAGAGAACTATTTTTTTTCTAAATTCCTCGAATCAAACGGAATATTACTATGTTAGGGATATAATCTGGTAAAGGCTTAAGGACACTCACATTATGCGAGAAAAAAAACATTTCTCAGAATTAAATTGTAATCCCTCCGTCCTATATCTTTCTTCCCGTTGCGCAAAACGAAGAAAAATCCCAAGTTTTTTTAATCTATTTTATTTGAATGTTGGTATAAAAATAAAAAATAAAACATACATATTTAAAAACTACATCAAAAGTTTAACAAAAGAAGTGGTGACAAGAATATTTTATTTTATCATATAGGCCATGAAAAAACACAAATAAATATAAATTTCCGTGAAGTTAGAATAGTGCTCTGGGAAGAAAGTTTTAGGACGGAGGGAGTATCATACTTTATACTCTGAAGGCATGCACCAACATTATTTGCTAGTGTAATATTAGTGTGATGGTTTTCAATGACATAAAATGTCAGTACAATTTTTTTAACTAGCATTTTGTGTCAGTGTGAACCGTTAAAATACTTGTACATCTTTTTGGAGTACAAATTGAGTTACTCTTCTTGGTATACCTCTAGCATGGTTCTTCTTCTTAATAGCCAACCTGATTTGGTTGATTATTTGCAGTTTTCCTAGGTTGCTGCCTTATGGTTTTAGTGAGGGGTGATTCTATCCCTTCCTCTTTTATGCTACCCCACTATATATATATATATATATAGATATTTTGATACATTAAATTTTCCAAATTGCGACTAATCTTAGAAATAACGCTATCCTAAGAACCTTAGAGGAGGTAAACCTGGACACTTTTGCCCCTCAAATTCCTATTTAGTCTGTACTCAAGGAGTCATCACATACTGATTGGTCAACTCCTCATACTGATTAATTAGCATCTAATTTTGCTGGTCCATCCCTTACTCAGCATTAGGTCCTCGTATATCCAATTTAGGTTTTTAGTAGGTCCAAACTACTACTATACACTGCAGATGGAAATGAGTCATCTGCTATTGATGGAAAAACCCTCATCTCCCCTACACGGTAGCTTGAACTTAAGACCTTCCAGAGGAGAGTTTTAAGCGTTGGAAGTGGCGAAGAAACTTGCTTAAATAAACTACTCCTAATTTTCATTTACAATATTTTATTGAAACAATTTTTTATGGAATACTTTATCATATACTACGGGGTACGGAGTAATATACTACGTACATTACAAAAAATGTATACTTCGGGCGTGTTTGGGAGAGTGGTAGAGCGAGTAGAAATCTTTCTTCTAAAACAAACATAAATTATTTTCCCTTATGTTACCAAACAAGGGAATTTGGAATCAAAATTTTCCGAGAATACTTTCTTCCAAACCAAACACACCCTTTGACAAAATTCAGTGGTCAGCCCCTCAAAATTCCTCTTCTAAATTCTCTATCTTTTGTTTCTACCAAGCAAAAAAAAAACATCAGTAAGCTATTGTCCCCATTGCAGGCCAGCTCCATCCTTGTTTGGCCACTGTCAACTGCCTCCACCACCAGAGCAACCCAGACAACTCAAAAAATGAATTTGGGGAGTGAGTTTGAAAAACATATATTGGTCAGAATGTTTTCACTACCTGGAGAACAAAACAATGGAAAATTAAAAAATGACACAGGAAATGTATCTGTTGAGGTTGCAGTTACAGACATGAAACAATGCAATCGTCGTCTCCATGTCACATCAAGTAACAAAAAGAAAGTGATACGGAGTAACTGATTTAAGTACTCACTGGGTCTTATTTCTCACCTCTCAATTCTTATGTCACGGTTTTGTACTCGAGTCCACGAACATTGGTGCGGGCTCAGAAGTTCAGGCCAAAAATCGCTCCCCTGTCAAAGTTCAATGACTTTGAGGGTTCTCAATGAATGGCATCTTTTAGTCCACCAACTCATTCCAGTTACACATCTGCCAAAAGGAAAGCGATTTATTCTCTTAAGAAACTTGAAACTCCAGCAAAAGGAATTCAGCAATAATCACAGCTTATCCCGGTCTATAGGGGAAACCTAAAGTGTTTTTTAAACGGAGTTAATGCAAAATTGATTCCGTTGTACCTCTATAGAAACGTGATCTTTGAACTGCCTGGCCATCCTGCATTCTATGCGACTCGAATGGCAATGGTCCTGAGAATGACCGCCCTGTCTGAACTGCCTTGTTCACCATTACGGTCCTGATTCATTTGGATATATATTAGAGCTTTGGCAACATACATGAGAAAATGTCCTTAAATAATAATAGTAATAATAATACTCCATAATAATAATAATAGTAAATACTGCAATTCTAATCTGGAAACATCCGAGTGGGTACAGATCTCATATACATTAATAATTTAAAAAGGGTATTGAAACATCAACCTATAGTGGTAAACGATAGAACCTCGGCTTCAATAAAGCATTTTCTCATTGTGATTTTGTAGGAAGCTATAAATGGTGTATAGGCAAAGAAAGAATGTGACTAACCACTGATAATTCATAAAAGAACTCAAGCCGTTCCACCCGTTTATCATGAAGCCAAGAGGTGAACCCGTCATTCTTGTGACTGCTGCTTGAACATTCTCAATTTTCTTGCCCATATAAATCCGATGGGTCGATGGGTAGTTTTACAGGATTCATTTGTAGCCTTTTTGAATTACCATAAGCATGTAATCCTGAACGATCCAGTCTTTGACTTTTTGGCCATCCATCATAACTGCTAATTGTTTGTACAGGGACAGAGCAAATACTGTCCCCTTGAGATAATTCTGTTGTCTGAGAAGCTGCCTCTGAAAAAGTGTCATAAGGGGTTTTATGTGACATCCTGGCGACAGTAGCTCCTTTAGAACAAGTGCTTTTTCCATTGCTTCTACGAGAAGTGTGATAACTTGACTCCATATCCTTCATAGACATAACATCATAGTGAACGAAGATGAGCTTACTTAACAACAACATTGAAGAGAGAGAGAGAGAGAGAGGAGAGAGAGACCTCAGTGGAGGCCACTCCTCGACGTGTTCTCTTATTCCTTGAGAATGCAGATCCTCCCCTTACTGTGGAACCTGTCTTCCGTCTGAAAATTAATGGGCCATCAGTCAGAGTAACATATTTAGAAGAAGGCACCATTTTTTTCAAAATATCTTATTTTGTACAGAATTTGTGTGTTTTGGATTACTTATGGTACTCAAAAATTTTATCTTAAGTGTTTCCTATTTCAGCAAATAGAAAGATTTTTTTTTCTGAAAGTGTTTCCTATTTCTGAAAGTGTTTTCTGAAAGTGTCTCCTATTTCAGCAAAAAACTTTTTTTTTATTATCCAGCCCAAGGCTTCTTTTTTTCAGTAAACGTACTACTATTTAGTCCTCCCTGAAAACATCTTTTTAAAATAAAAGTACTATGAGTATTTTCTTTCATTTTCAGCCAAATTTGTTCCCCGAAAACAAGTCATCCGGAGCACTCTCTTCATATTGGTTGAAGCTGAATTACAGTCACACGTAGATGGCTAAACTGTCAGGCATTGATATCTTTGAAAGTGTAATGTCATGAAATTTCTAAATAGAAGTATAAGTACTTCACCTCCTTGCTTCTTCACGGAGTTTTGCATCAATCTCTCTGTTTGGTGGGAAAATTGGCATGGTTGATGGATCACAAGCATAGGGCCTCGTATAGAAATACTAAGTCCAGAAATAAAACATAAAGACATGAGTTTAAACTTTATGTGTGGGTAATAGGGATGGATATCACATTTTTTTGCCTCATGGTCAATTGAACCTTGAAGCAAAAATCGATAGTAATGATTAATGAACTAAAAAAAGAACAGGAAATTGTGCATTTAGTTGCAAAAGTTACCTCAGAATTAAGGGAAGACGATGCAGTTCCACGTTCATAAGGTTCTATTGAGAGAAGTGTTTGGATAAGGTTTACAGCAGATTTTGGTAATTCTTTACATCTTTCACGGAGTGTACTCTCATAAGCATATTGGGGTTTAAAGATAGCTGCAAGTGGACGTTCAGAATTTTCCCAATACACATCAGGTGGTGAACCACATAGTTTAAAGATTTTGTGCAGTTGTTCCACCTGCTTAACAAAAAAGATAAGTAATATTTTAGAGTACTATGGCATACAAGTATTCATATTCAAGACAGAACCGGACATGACCAAGATCTTCAGTACACGCTTTTTGGACTCTAGGTTCTGTACGGTCTAGACCAAATCCTTTTTTCTTCATATTTATTACGGAGTATATTTATCAAACATACATGCTTGGCGGTATGCATTTTTCAAACATTAATTCTTAAAACTTAATTAGCACATTTATACAAGTCAATTTTTTTTTTCAAATCTAAAAACTAGATGAGCCATTTTTCAACAGGTCAGATTGATTTGGACCAAAAGATGCTTATATATGGGTCCAGTTTGGTCTAAGGCCGGAATTATTATTTTAGACCGGAATTAACCCTAGGTCCACCTCCTTTTTTGGAGATTCCGGTCCAACAAGTGCTCACCCCATCATAAGTGACCAAAGGTACATAAGTTTTTCAAAACAATCATGTACGTATAGTGTTAAGAATACACACTGACCTCAGTTCTACCTTTTAGTAGAGGCTTTCCAAAGAAAAGCTCTGCAAAAACACAGCCAGCACTCCATAAATCAACTGTCACACCATAATCCGTCGACCCTAACAGAAGTTCGGGCGGTCGATACCACAGGGTCACCACCCGGCTGGTCAGTGGTTGCTTGCTGTTCTTTGCACTAACAAAGGTTGCAAGACCAAAGTCTCCTATCTTCAGAATTCCTTCATTGTTTACTAAAATGTTTGATACTTTGATGTCTCGATGCATAATCCCCCTTGAGTGGCAGTGTTCTAGCCCAGACAATAGCTGCTTCATAAAGCATTTGATCTATTCCACAAAAACAAAACATTTTGCATCACGGAATGAGAGAACAAACGTTAGGCCTCCACAGGTTTCATGAATGAATGAACATACCTGCGAGTCATTGAACTTGATGTCAGGACAAGACAGCAATCCGGAGAGATCATGTTCCATGTACTCAAAAACAAGGCAGATGCTACACGACGACCGGGAAGTGATTATGCCCTCCAGTTTCATGATGTTAGGATGATCAAGTCTGCGGAGGACAGTTATTTCTCGTGCCATGAATCTAACACTTTCAGGTTGGAAGTTGTCAAACCGAACCTTCTTCAGGGCAACCACCTTTCCATTTTCAAGATCACGTGCCCGGTAAACACTGCTGTACGTACCCTGTCCAATCTATGATACAGAATATATCCTCATCAGATCCCTCCATTTAATTATTTTGCCATTGTACCCATAATTCTCATTTGATAGTTTTGGGTTTGGCAAAAGAGCAAACACATTGGGTGTACCTTTTCTAATCTCTGAAACTTGTCTGCTCGGAGGGGGAGCCATCCCTCAACGGCCTCTCCGGCCACGGCAGAGAGCCACGAAGGCCAACCAGCGGCAGCATGTTCGCCCTCCGTCAGCCTCCCAAATTTGATGCTAAATGCAGCTTTCCTGGCGGAATGCACCTTCGACAATGCCTTGGGATTCTTCTTGGCAGGGGAACAAAATTCCTCCTCCCCTTCTTCAGACTCCTCTTGGATCTTCTCCAACCCTCCGAACCCAACCTTGCGGTGGCCCAAACTCGACCGGGAACGGTGGTACTTCCGGCCATCTCGGATGGTGGTAAGGGCAGAGGAATCCGGGGAAGAAATGGCGTCGTGGCGTGCCTGTCTGGAGCTGACGCAACCCATGATCCGAAAACCCGTCAACTACTCATCGGATTTTGGGGGATCAGATGGAAGACCCACTTCACTTGGGTCTGGGTCTGTGATCCCCCACGAGAGAAAGAGACGGGCAGGGCGATGGCCGGAGGGATGGATAATCAATAAGAGAATGAATGAATCAGAAAATTGGCTATTGCTATTCGGATAGTCCCACAGTTTCGCGCTCTCTCATCCACCACCATCCAGCAACAGCTACATCTGCGGAGTGGACGACATCAATATCATCATCATCATCAACCTCGAATAGTCATTTCATGATGATTGGTCCAATGGGAAGTCTACCATACGTGTTCCTAGTTTTAGCTATGGAGCGTGCTTATTTTAGGCCCTCCCATGTGCCACGCGGGAAGGCATTGCGGGATGGTAGGTGGCGCGGGAAGGGAAGGGGAACGCAGCCCCTGCGGGAACTGGAAGATCAGGAGCCCTCCCCGTTTTTGCATTGGCCTTCAATAGTCAGATTTTAATTATTTTTTTTTCGTTTTTGTTTTTCTTTTTCTTTTTGAAGTACCTGTTTGCATATTTTAAAAAAATCCTTAAAAAATTTCACTATTTAAACACAACACTCCACTTTTATTTTTCACACACTTTCCATCCATTTCTTTGAATTCTCCATTCTTCATATTCATTTTAAACACCTCTCACCACTGATGGGTAATAACCCATGGGTATCGCCTGGTAGGTCTGACCGACCGGGAGGTACCAAATGCAACACCACCTGACCTAGTCAACCCGGGTTGACTGACCGGTCACGGGTGAGAAGACCCGAAGCCGAAGATGCAGCTTCTTCTGGCAAAGGCATACAAACTGACCGGTTAGTAATCTGACCGGCTGGATGATCAATGACGTGCTTGACGTGCTTAGGATTATTATAAATACCCCTAAAACCTCATTTGTGAGGCATGCTTTAATTAATCTGTACGGCTTGTACTTTGTAATAGTCCTATTATTATCAATAACAAACCGGGTTACAGGTGTTTCCACCTACAGCCCTTCCGATCACTCATACTTAATATTTGCACGGTAATTTACACCATCAAATTGGCGCTGACCGTGGGACCTATTACAAGAAGAAAAGCGTTCCAAAATTTTGGACAATTCATGTCCATGTTTCAACAACCGGGAGGGTTTTTCCCCTTCATCCCCGGATTGTACCCCCAATCTATCCCCCAAAATACTCCATTCCCAAGCGTAACCGGACTTCCGTCATCATTCCCACAAACTAGCATCATCCGGCCGGTCATTCCAGCGAATCTGGTCGGAGAAATGGATAAGGTTGGACCATCCCGATCTAGAAGGAGCCGGTCCCAAAGATCACACACCCATATAACGCCAGAGGGGAATGTGCGTTCAGTCGACAACAAAGACGAGGACTGGGACCTCCCCCAGGCACAAAAGAAGCTGAAGGGTAAGGCAATCCAACCTGAAGGATCCAGGAGATCAGCATTCCAGAGGCTGGGACATGACGGCAGGAACCAGAACCGGCCGGCCAAAGAGCGACTAGGAGTGGAGACTACCCCGGTGAGTGCCTTTGACCGACTGGGGAGAGGGGTCGGGCGACCTGGTCGGACCAGGCGAACGGAACCACCCCCTCGCGATGAACCCCAGAACAGCCGGGCGCCCCTGGAAGAGGAGGAAGCGGAAAGCCATCCAAGGCACACGGTCCGCACCCACGTTGAACAACCTAGGGACCGTGTAGGCCGGGTAGAAGCACGTTTGGAAAAGTTACAGCGACGGGTAGACCGGGACGAGAAGAAGAAGGTCTTGCTGAATGAATCTTCATTCACTGACCGGGTACAAGAAACCCCGTTCCCAAAAAAGGCAAAGCTAGAAGTCCCAAAATTCACCGGCAAGGAGGACCCGGAAATACACGTTAAAACCCTCCACCAAAGTGGGAGAATGATGGGTCTTTCCGGGGACGAAAAGTGTTTGCTTTTCTTCCAAACCCTCCGCGGCCGAGGAGCCGAGTGGTTTCACAACCTCCCGGCCGGTGAAATTGATTCTTTTGATGAGCTGGCCGAGGTGTTCCAAGAAAAGTTCAAAAAAAATTGTACCAAGAGGAAAAAATTTACCTACTTGAGTACGGACGGGCAGAGGGAACATGAGGATCTGACCAAGTTCCTCACCCGGTGGAATGATGAAGTTGACAAGGTGGAGGAGATGGACGACAAAACCGCAATGTCCCTCCTGGTCTCCGGGCTTCGTTCCGGAGAATTGTACAAGGAATTCTGCCGGAGACCTCCCCAGTCTTACCAAGAGGCCTACAACACGGCCTGGGATTACGCAGATGCTAAGGCTCAGGTTTCCTCCAAACGGGAAGCCGAGCAGGGCCACTCCAAAGGGAGGATTTCCTTGAAAAAGGAAATCGAACTGCATGGCAGGGTAAAAGCGGAAGTCATGGAGGTAAAACCGGTCAAGATGGAGAAAAAGGCAACTAGGGAGAAGCAGTGGACCGAGAAGTATTGCTCTTTCCACAAGACAGACTCCCATAACACTGCTGAGTGCAATAGTGTTAAGGGAGTGATAAAGCAAATGATCGAGGCCGGGGAACTCGACCAATAGTACTTAGCCCAGGCAAAACAGAAGAAGAACCAATGGATCCGTCTTGAGGGGCCACCGGCTGACCAGAATAAAAAGAAGAAAGCATCCGGTAAGGAGCACTTACAGGTGATTTATGGAGGACCAGAAGGAGGAGATTCTGCTTCTCAATGAAAGAAGTGGGGACGTGAACTCTACGTCGGTACAGTTGCCCTAGGTCCCCGCACAAAGCAAACCAGAAGGGAGCCGATCACTTTCACGGACCGAGATCTCTCCGCCACCGGGGAAGACCACAATGACCCTTTGGTTATAACCATGTATTTAGGTGGAGTTGATGTTTCCCGAGTACTCGTTGACACGGGCAGTAGTGTCAATGTTTTGTACTTGGAAGCCTTTGAGAAACTCAAGCTATGTCGAACGCGGCTTGAGCCATTAAAGACTCCGTTATCCGGGTTCACCGGGGACTCTGTTGAAGCTGAGGGGTCAATCCTCTTAACATGTGAATTGGGCACGGGAGATACAGTCATACAAAAAAATGAGGTTTGTGGTGGTGAACATCAAATGTGTTCACAATGCAATCTTGGGCCGGCCTGGAATAAACAAAGTCCGTGGGATCATCTCCATGGCCCACCTCTGCATGAAGTTCTATACACCGGGCGGTATAGGACAAGTCAGAGGAGATCAGAAGAAGGCCCGGTCTTGTTATCTTAAAGTTGTGAAGAAGATGACAAAGGCATTCGAGAGGGTTACCCTGGTTTCCCAGGAGGAAGACCGGTCAAAATTGGAGCTAGGTGATGAGACTGAGCAGATTGTTCTCCGGGAAGCATTCCCGGAGAGAATGGTGAGGATCGGCCGGGACATACCCGGAGGACTTCGAGAGGAAATCATCTCAGTCTTTCGGGAATACGCTGACATATTCGCTTGGAGTGTAGCTGATATGCCGGGTATTGATCGTTCCATTATCTGTCACCGATTGGCTATAATTGAGGGTAGTCGGCCAGTGAAACAAAAGAAAAGGCACTTGGCAAACGTCCAGAGGGAGTTTGTTAAAAAAGAAGTGAAGGATTTGTTGGCAGTCGGACACATCGAAGAAGTCCAGTACCCGGCGTGGTTGGCGAATGTCGTCTTGGCACCAATGGGCGATACTTGGCGTATGTGTGTGGACTACACCGATCTCAACAAAGCGTGCCCCATGGATTCATATCCGCTGCCCAGTCCCGACCAGATGGTTGATGAGACGGCCGGATGTGAATTGCTGAGCTTCATGGACGCTTTCAAAGGCTACCACCAAATCTTCATGGCGAAGGAGGATGAGGAAAAAACTTCCTTCTTAACTCCCGAAGGCACATATTGCTACCGGGTGATGGCCTTTGGGCTTAAGAACTCGGGCGCTACTTACCAACGGATGGTGAACCGGCTTTTCAATCCACTCCTTGGTAAGTCGATGGAAGCCTATGTGGATGATATGCTGATCAAGAGCCCGGGAGCAACAAACCACCCGGCTGATATGAGGCTATGTTTTGAGATCATGGCGAAGTACAACCTGCGCCTTAACCCCAAGAAGTGCGTCTTTGCTGTAAAGACCGGCAAGTTCTTGGGGTTCATGGTAACCAAGCGGGGTATTAAGCCAAATCTGGAGAAGATAAAAGTGATAACCGAGATGAGGTCACCCGGTTCCCTGAAAGACGTGCAGCGAGTTACCGGGCGGCTGGCAGCTTTGAGCCGTTTCCTTTCCCGATCAGCTGAAAGAGCCCTGCCCTTCTTCAAGGTCCTGAAGAAGGCCAACACGTTCGAATGGGACCGGGAGTGTGAAGAAGCTTTCCAACAGCTGAAGGAGTACTTAGTTTCTGATATAGTTTTGTCTAAGCCCAAGCCGGGTGAAACTTTGTACTTATATCTGGGTATATCCCAAAACGCTGTAAGCTCTGTTTTGATAAGAAATGAAGACGGCCAGAGGCCTATTTACTATGTGAGCAAAGCACTTAATGGGGCAGAAAGCCGGTACACTGCCATTGAAAAGACCGCCTATGCACTTTTTATAACGGCCAAAAAACTGACCGCGTACTTCCAAGCTCACGTTGTAGAAGTACTGACCGATCAGCCAGTTGGGCCGGTCCTCCCCAATTCAACTTCTTCAGGACGGATGATCAAGTGGGCAATGATGCTCACCCAGTTCAAGATCGAGTATAAACCTAGAACCGCGATCAAGGTCCAAGCACTGGCCGACTTCCTGATGGAACTGACCGGTCTGGAGCCTGAAGTCGGACCTTCCCATACGGTCGAACCGTGGTGGGACATGGCCGTTGATAGGGCCTCTGGACCGAAGGGCTGCGGGGCCGGCATAGTCTTTACGACCCCAGAAGGATTCAAAATCTACCATGCTTTGGTTTTTAACTTCAAACTCACCAACAACGAAGCAGAATACGAGGCATTGGTCGCCGGGCTCAGATTAGCCCGAGCGCTCGGGATCAAGAGAATGAAGATCCGTTCTGATTCAAGCTTGGTCGTCGGGCAGGTGAATGGCGAAATGGAAATAAAAGAAGAACGTCTGCCTCGGTATAGTGGCCTGGTCCGAGCTCTTTTAAGAGAATTAGAGGAATTTCGTTTGACCAGGATACCCCGATCGGAAAACACTGATGCTGATATGCTTTCCAAGCGGATGCAAGCTTGCCTGGAGCATGTATCAAAGTTGGCTAAAATTGAGATATTCGACCAACCAAGTACTGACCGGTTTGAGGTCGCGGCCATCCAGCAGGGTCAGAGCTCAGATGTAGGAGTAATTGAGGCGGATGACGAGTGGAGATACAACCTCATGGAGTACTTAATGACCGGCCAGAAACCAGATGAAGAATAGCGGGCCAAGAAGGTAGTCTTACGGGCTCCCCGGTTTCAGGTACTAGACGGTCACTTATACAAATGTGCTATTGGAGGACCTCTACTGCGTTGGCTTACCAACCCGGAGGTAGAACGAGTGATAGCTGAGGTACATGAGGGAGTTTGCGCTGCCCATCAGATGTCCGGTATACTGGCCCAAAGAATAATTCTGCTTGGCTACTACTGGCCAACCATCGTTAGGGATTGTGAACGGTATGTACAAAAATGTAGGACATGCTAAGTCTTTTACAAACATCCCGGCAGACCGGCTACGTATTACCAACCAACCTCTAATGTTATACCCTTTGCCCAGTTTGGGATTGACATTATTGTGGCATTCCCGGTTGCACAAGGCGGGAAGAAGTTCGTGATGGTCGTCATAGATTACTTCACAAAGTGGATAGAGGCTAAGGCGATGGCTACCATAACCGTGCGGCAGTGTGAAAAATTCGTTTGGAAAAACATTATCACCTGGTTTGGGGCCCCAAAGATGATTGTCACTGATAACGGCCCACAGTTTCGCAACCCCCGGTTCACCGCATAGTTGGCCAATTTTGGGATCAAGCACAACAAGGCGTCAGTAGCAGCATATCTGCAAGGAAATGGCCAAGTTGAAAATGCCAACCAGACGATAGTGGACGGGCTAAAGAAGAGGTTGGGAGAAGAAGGGCGCAAGTGGTTGGAAGCACTACCCCATACCATCTCGGCACACAGGGTGACTTCGAGGAGAGCAATCGGGGAGACACCATTTGTGCTCACTTACGGATGTGAAGCCCGGTTACCAATCGAGGCCGAGTTCCCAACGTTTAGAGAGACCGTGTATCAGCCCGGTCAGAACGAGACCGACCACTTGGCTGAATTGAATCTGGTGGAAGAGCGGAGAACGATGGCAGCCGTCAAAATGGCCGGTTATCAGCAGTCAGTAAAGAGATACCATGACAACCGAGTAGGTCCACGATACTTCCAGGTGCATGATGAAGTCTTGCGAAGAAGGGATTATAGTAAGCCCAATGAAAGAGGCAAGCTAGTGCGCAATTGCGAAGGGCCCTATCGCATAAGGGCGATCATCAGACCGGGTACTTATCTGCTGGAAACCATGGAAGGTGGGCAAGTCGACCGACATTGGAACTCTCAGCACTTGCGCTAATTTTTTAGATAAAAGTGTAATGAGTTCCCGGTCATGAATAAAACTCTGTTCTTTTCAGAAAGGTTGTTCTTAATACCAATCGGTAATTGGTCACTCACCAATCTTACCGGTTAGATGTTCAATCGAATTGGACGTTTAAAAAAAAAGAGAGACCGGTCGAACTGATCAAACTCTTCATCCGTACTGACGCGGAATTAAAATGACGTAATCAAAAAGGGAGAGCATCCCGTTTTGGTTGGGTCAAACGATTAAAGAAAAATGTAAGGCTTATCTTTCAACACGGGTGATAAGCCGATGTGAAAGACAAGCCGGCTTTACTTACACCCGGGCAGAAAACCATCCTTTCGAAAGGGATAAGGTACATTGCCATCACGGGTCAAAAAACCTACCGGGAAGAGATTGGTCGGATTCAATCTCTTCCTAGACACCTAGTCGGGCTGTAACTAAGTAATCTACACGGTTGTAAATTTAAAGTTGAATAGATTATTTCAAACACAAATCATAATGAAGCGATCAAACACTCAGCACACAATAAGCAAAATAGAACTTTCATTGATACCAAAATATTTTACAAAACCTGCCCGAAGGCTGGTCATTACATATTGAAATAAAAAAAAAAAGAGGAAAAGAAGGGCCAGGAGCTCATATTCCTCCGATCCGAAGGGCGCGACCGGTGCCTCATCGTGCAGCTCGGGCAGAGAAAAAGCCTTGGGTTCGAAACCCTGAATCCGCCGCTGAAGAATGCCATATAGCGCCTACCGTTCGTCATACTGGCCACTTTCGAAGCCGAAGGTCGCGATCTCATCGATAACCTTGGCCGATGTCTTGTGCTCATAGAGCCCCTAGAAGAACCGGATGGCAATCTCCCAGTCTGTGATCGCCCGGGTGGCAAACTGCTCCGGCTCTTGAACCGCCCAAGTAGTAGCGAGTGAAGCCCGTTCAGCGCGCTCCTTCTCCAGCTCGTCCCCTAATCGGGCAATCTCTTCAGCTGATTGGGCGGCTTCTTCCTGCAGCCCGGCTTTCTCGGCCTCAAGCCTTTGGATCTTGTCCTGGGCTTGAGCATCGGCCTCTTTCGCGACCTTCAGCAGCCCTTCGTGCTTGGCATAGAGCTTGCGGAAGGCTGCGCAATGCTCCAGGAGCTTCTCCTCGGCCTTCTCCGCCTTTAGATGGGCAGCCTGGACATCCTTTCGGCAGGCCACCATCATGCCCTCCAGCCGGGCTTTCTCCTCCTCCTTGGATTTCACCAGCCGGGTGAAATACTCCTGGCCAATCTGGCCGACCTGCTACAGAGAGATGAAGATTTTTCAGAAACCTAATCTTAGAAACACAATGAAATACAATGAAGATTTTACAGGTTACCTCTTGTAGATCGGAGCAAAAGGCCTGGTAGAGCTCCTCGTCCGACTGGACCATCATGGCAAAAGACCGGGGCTCGCCAAGCCCTTTGCCGGCGTCGGAGGACTGGGCCGGCTGGTCCACAACCTCTGTCCTCCGCCTCTTCCTTTGAAGGGCCTCCTCAGCAGCCTCCTCTTCGTCGCGGCCCCCTTCAGCTTGTTGTCCTCCCTGACCGGCCTCTGACGTATGGACGGTCTCCATCAGCATGTTGTCGAACTCCAGGGTATCTACATTAATGAAGATCTTCCCAGAGTGAATGGGCTGGCTGGTGCCCTGATGCGACTGGGCCGGTTGCTCATCCAGTGAGAGCAGGTGGCTGGAGGGCTGACTGAGGGGCTGGGCAGTGGAAGGCTCCTCCTCATTGACAATCTGGGGGGTGGCAAACTTTGAATTGAACTTCACCACTGGAAAGAAGAAGAAACAGACCGGTTAGTAAAAGAGAGCTGTAAAGTAAGAGAAAAAATACAGGCAAATAAAAAAGGGCAGGGACCTTTCTCCTTCTTCTTCCCCCAGCGTGAGGAAGCGGCGGCGGTAGAAGCCGGGGCTTTGGACCCTTTCACCCGGCAGATGGGGATGGCGTCTGGGATCGCCTCAGCCAGAATGATTTCCGGCTCGGGGTCAGTCTCCCGGCCGGGGTAAACCCCCCACTTCCCGACGTTGTAAGAGCCGCGGGTGGAGGCATCCCCGGCCCGGAGAGTGGCTTCACAGGCGGCCAGGTCATCAGTCTCCATGGGTTTGACCTGGACTTTCATCTTTTTCCCCTAGCCATTTTGGGCAAAGGGGAAAGCATCCGGGGGGGGGGGGATTTGACAGAAACGTATTTGTCCTTCCACTCCATGTTGGAAGGAGGAAGACCAGAGAGAAATGCACGGCCCTGATGAGGGGACACAACCACGAATCCAAGGGTTTCCTTGGACCCGGGCCGGACATCGAACATATGGTCGAATAGACGAAGGGAGAGAGGAATACGGAGAAAGCGACAAACGTTGATGAAACTACTCAACATACGGTGACCATTGGGAGCCAACTGACCGGGCATGATCTCGTACGTTTCAAAGAAAAGGACTTTGAAAGGGTGAATAGAGAATTCACCCAAGTCCTTAATGGAGTGGTAATGGATCCCAATCGTCGTATCGGCGTGGAGAGAAATAATATTCTTCCACGTTGCCCGGTAGGACAACTGGTATCCGTCCGGCATTAGGTTGCGCAGCTCGTGGATTTGAGCCTTCTGCATGTGCGACGGTTGCTCTTGGAGCAACCGGTCATCCAGCAGAATGAAGCCCTCATCCCCGGACTGGGCAACCGAGACCACTTGTGCCGCAGAAGAAGAGGGGGCACAGGTGGAAGTATCAACCAGCTTCTTCTATGGAGAAATAGCCGGGCGCTCAGAAGAAGAAGAGGAGGAGGAACTGGAGGTCTGAGACCGGGCACCAGAACCATAGGAATGGACAGAGAGGTTCTAGCTGTCCTCGTGGTCAGACATGACTCAAAGAAGAAGAGGGAGGAAAGAGACTTACTTGGAACTAGAAGACTCGGAGGACTCAAGGAAAACAGTAGAAGCAACCGAGCAGATTTTTGAATGACGATTTGCAAGTGAGAAATTTCAAGGGGGAACCTCGCTTTATATATGGGAGGTGCCGCCCAGCCGAACGAATAGTGGAGCGAAACGTGGCAGCGGAAGTGATTCGTAATCATAACTTCTCGGGGAGGCGAAACGGCGCGAAAAATCGACGGCGCCGTACTGGATTTCAATAAAGATTTTCCGGCGTCTGACGCCCGGGATTTCAAAATTCAAAATTCAAATATATTAATTTTGGCACTAGTTTGCAGAGGCCATTTTTCCCGCCAAAAATTGGCTGGGAGGTTTGAATTTGAAGAGATACTCGCATATGCTTCTCGCCCCTGATGGTACCCACAGAGTCGGGAATCGGAGGACTCCTTGATGGGTAGTAACCCATGGGTATCGCCCCAGTAGGTCTGACCGACCGGGAGGTACCAAATGCAACACCACCTTACCTAGTCAACCCGGGTTGACTGACCGGTCACGGGTGAGAAGACCCAAAGCCGAAGATGCAGCTTCTTCTAGCAAAGGCATACAAACTGGCCGGTTAGTAATCTGACCGGCTGGATGATCAATGACGTGCTTGACGTGCTTAGGATTATTATAAATACCCCTAAAAGCTTCATTTGTGAGGCATGCTTTAATTAATCTATACAGCTTGTACTTTGTAATAGTCCTATTATTATCAATAACAAACCGGGTTACAGGTGTTTCCACCTATGGCCCTTCCGATCAGTCATACTTAATATTTGCACGGTAATTTACACCATCAACCACAATGACATTAATTTAATCACATACGATGTTAAATTCTTCTCCGTATTCTTCGGATGAAGCCGAAATTTTTTTCACAAACGTGATCACGGAGGCGGCAAAAACTTTAGCTGAGCATGCGGAAATTGGAAGTACTTCGGCGCCAAAAAAAAGAAATGCAATGTTGCAACGTGATCGGAAAGGTATAAAAATATAAATCTTACGTACATTTCGTTTTTTAATCTTAATTAATTTTTTTACACACCTTTTTTGCTATAAATTATGGTATCCACACCGTAGGTGGCCACGACCAACTTGTGGCCGATTACTTTGTGAAAAATCCGGTGCACACTGATGACTAGTTTAGACGATACTTTCGTATGAGTTGCTATCTTTAATTTTCCTCCGTATTGTCGATGATTTGGCACATGCAGATCCATTCTTTTACTCTACTTGCGGATGACAGACAGAAGTTGGGTTTTACTACCTTACAAAAGTGCGCAACGGCAATTCGACTAATGACATACAACACGTTCGCAGATGCACTTGATGATTATCTTAGAATTTCCAAGAGAACGGCCCGTGAATGCTTGTACAAATTTGCAAAATGGGTTGCCAAGTTGTATTACAGAGACCATCTCAAAAAGACGTTCAAAAATTATTCGTCGCCCACAAAGCGAGACATGGGTTTCCCGACATGCTTTGGAGTATTGATTGCATGCACTGGATGTTTCATAATTGTCCTAATGCATGCTGTGGTCAATTCACACGAGGGGATCACAGATGATAAGTCCGTTTTGTACACACTTATTTGTTCCATATTTAATGTGTTATTGTCCAATTTTGAATCAATCAATACAAACTCCCATTTGTTTTCACATGTTTTTGTTCAAAAATTTAAAGTGCACAAAAGTCAAGTTCCTATTTTGAAAAGAATAAAAGTTGGGTCAAAAGTAGTATTAAAGAGTAAGCAACAGGAGCGCTACAGAGAAAATAAATATAGAAAAAAATACAGGAGAACCAAACGGACCCTTATCTTTAGTTGGCGCAAAAGACAAATTTGCTCAAAAAAATATGGCGGCAGAAGAGGCATAAAAAATTTGGGATCAAACGACTTCAAAAACTTTTGAAAAAATGAGAGTCAAACTAAAACAATGATGAAAATTTGAAGTCGCCGTAGATCAAGAAGAAAAGTTGTTCAAAACAAAATTTTGAGTTAGATAGAACTATTCAAAATTAATTTCATCCAGCTTACCAAGCACTGCCACGTGGCCACAAGGTGGTACACTATTCTTGGGTTCTCTTCTGTCTCTTTCCAGCTTACCAATTTTGAGAGAAGAGTAAATTAGGATTGAGAAGTTGATTCTATTATTCTGATAATTAATCCAAGGGGGTACATATTTATTATAGAGTATAGAGAAACTCTACTTTTAACGAGATAAAGTTAACCTTAACCCTGTCGGATCAAGATATACATGGACGTAAAGAAGAAACCCTGAAATAGCTTATAATTTTGTTCACCTAATACAAAACTAGATTACGATAAATATTATATTATAAATATTAACTAATAAATAAATACTAACTAATATATACTTCATCAGTCTTAAAACTATCTTCCCATTCCCTGTTCACTAGGTCAAACTTTACCTATTTGTGAGCTTAATTTTGTCACTTTTTTGATAAAATTATAGTGATGTCATCTTTTGTTTCGTAGATCAATCTTTTGATGTAGTTTTTAAATATATAAATTATATTTTAAAATTCTTTACCAATTTTGTAATAAATTATTATCAAAATATCTTCAGTCAAGTACTGTAAATTGCAACGAGAAGTTAGTTTTAAGACGGTGGGAGTAATTAATTGAATAATACAAAGTATAACTAAATATTTAAACACTCTCTGTTTTAGAAAACCACCTTGATCTCAAGGTAGATGCTCTGATACCGCTCATGCTTATGAAAAAGAGACAAAATGTTAAACCAAAGAAGATGCCCATTTGGTGTCCAATCTTCATGAAGCTTGCTTATTGTGCCGGAGTAAAAGAATTATGATACGAAGCCAATCATCTTTCCAATCTTTCCAAGCACTAAGAGATAACCAGGTTCTTTAACTTGATAACATCAATAAGATCAGCCATTTCATTTTGGTTGCGTGAGACACAGCCGAAATAAGAGACTTGTTGAATTGTGATGACACCTCTCAAATATTGCTTCTCTGCATGGTCTCGATGGTGGTCATCCACTTCAACATCTTCTGTCAAAATAACACCGTTAACGGTAAGGGGAACAACATTATATTGGAAACACTTACACAAAATCAACAAAAAATTCCTCCTTATATTCTTTGCCATAAGAATCAATGTTTTACATAATTACCATGAGGGCTAAACTTCGTGTAGAAAGTGGAGCATCGATGAGGTTTGTTATAGTGTCCATCATGTTTATATTGAAATGTTGTAACTCCAAAAGGATCTGATTAGGCACAATTCAGGACCACAAGCCAAATCCTGTATTGAGCAAGAGATTTTAATGTTGAACGCATATAAATCAGAATCATAATTAGGTTGACCTTCAATATAGTTGAACGACTAGAACCTCTACATAATTTCATCTATGTAGAGCGTCAACGAACAGAGTTGGAAAAGTTGAAAGTCATGACTACCAACATCAAGAGTCTTCCATTGACGGAACATGCGCTGTCGAGGAAAATGAAAAGACAAAATTGCAGAGAAATGACTTAGACATAACATGGATTTTTAGTCTTTTCTAACTTTTTTAAATTAATTGCGCATCAACTTTTTTAATAGGAAAAATCTTATGTGGTCATTGAATCTATACTTATTTTATGAAACTTAGTACAAAAATACCATGTAAGAGTTAAGTTTTTGGTAAAAGAAAAAATATCCACTTATAACCCCATGAAAAGTGTGAAAAGATCCATATTTTCCATATGAACCTCAAGACTACGGAAGCACTTAATCTTTTTAATGTGTTGTTTTACATGATGAGAAGATCCACATCAAATAGCTTTAGGAAAAGGGCGGTGATAGCCACACCCATCAAAATATTAAATTTACTCCACATACTAATTTCACCTAGCTATTTTATAAACTATTTTTAATCTCGTATTTCATACGAGTTGTTATATATTTTAAACTTTTTACTATGTAACTTATTGATAAAATTATATTATGAATTAAAGTATAATTTTTTATTTTATTTTTCTCATAAATACTAGTATGCATTATCTAAATCATTTTTAATAACAAGATATGATTTTTTTTATAAGAAAAATTGGGATGTAGCGTTAATAATGATGCAAATTTATTACTCCGGAGTAAATTTTAAATGAAATTTTGTTTTTGAAAAGTAATAAAAAGGAAAATGGTGTGTAGTTTTAAATTTTATATAAAGCTTTGTATTTTTTATAAAAATATAATAAAACTTACATAATCTTCTTTTTAAAATTATAAAATGATTGTCTAGATTAAAAAATTAGAATAGGGAAATACATATTGTTATAATACCTAGAAATGGAAGTTTAGACAAAATTTTTGGTCATCAAATTTAAGAATGATGAAAGTTATTCTAATCAATGAATAATTAAAATAACACCTCAATTAATTTTAAAACTCATATAAGTTTTTTTAAAAGTAAAAAAATAAAATAAATTGTGGATAAATCTAAAATATCTTTCTAATAAAAATAGGCCAAATAGCTCCGGTGTCCCCTGTGGTTTGGAAAATTGGCATCAATACCCCCTCTATTTTCAAAACTTACTTCTAAAGACCCCGTGGTTTCAAAACATTGCACCCACACCCCTCTGATCATTTTCCGGCCATTTTCCGTTGAAGAGGGGCATTTGCGCATAATTTTTAAACCATAGGGGGCATTTGTGCTCATTTTTTATTTTTCACTTATTATTTGTGTTTTCCTTTTTTTTAAATATTTTCTATCTCTTTTTCCTTTTCCTAGATTTTTTTCTAATTTATTTTCAATTTTTTTCTAATGTTTTAAAATTTTTTGTGTTTGAAATAAATAAAAAATTAACATACATTGCATATATTTGAAATTAAACATTTTCACTTTTTGTTACGTACTTATTTGGAAAGTTCAAAGAGAAAAACCTAGAATAAAAAAATAAAAATATGAAAAAATAAAATGAAAAATAAAAATACACAAAAAAAGTCTGATATAAAAAAAAATGGACAAGCCTAAAAAAGTCCTTAGAATTGAGATGTTCGAAAAAGATATTCATTTTTATTTTTGTATTATTTTGTATCTTATTTTGTTCCTCATTTTTTGAAATTCTCAAAAAAAAAAGTTTACTTTTTTCAAAAAAAAAACAAACATTGTTGATTTGAGACGTACATATACATTATATGTTAATTTTTCAAACAAAAATAACTTTAAATTTTATGAATATTATAAAATAATTTTAAAAAAAACCTTTATTAATAAATGAAACAAATAAAGGAAAAAAAAAATAAGCGACAAATAAATATCAGCATTGATACCCACTGTGGTTTAGTAAATATGCACCAATACCCCCCTTTTCGCCGAAAAAATGGCCGGAAAATGATCAGAGGGGGCACGGGTGCAGCATTTTGAAACTATAAGGACTTTAGAAATAAGTTTTGAAAACAAAGAGGATTTTGTTGCGTATTTTACAAAACACGGGGGTACTAACACTATTTGGCCAATAAAAATATATTTATAATGTTCATTACTGTATAAATTACGGAGTAATAAATACTCCTTGGAGTAATAAATACTCCGTATGGTCCAAAAGTAGTGTTCCGGTAGAATTTTCCACGAACAAATCACTGGACTAAATGAGTATATATCTCCTGCAAATTTTGTTTTGGATAAAAAATGGGAGCCGGCAAAGCATGAAGGAACGGATCCATAGTTGAGTGAGGCTGAAGTTTCGTTCGGTTCCAACAACCCTTCAGTCCCCATTCGCACTTTTACCTGCTTTATGTTGCTCTATATCTCACACTTTTCTCAATCCACAAACCCTAATCTGCGACTCTCCTCTCTCGGATTTTGAGCATTTCAGGCACATGATTCTCTCGGTATGAGATTTCCTCTTCTCGGAGATGGCAATAAGGTGGTTCGTCTTCCTCTCAANACTGTTTGTCTATGTTAATCGATTGCAGAAATGTAATGCATGCTTGGAAGTCTTTTACATTCTCGCTTTTTTCCCTTGATTCATACCTACTTTTGGTGAACTTTGGTTTGTTTGTTTGCACTGCGTGTGTTCAATTAGTTTTAAACGGAAATTTTGACTCATTCTTATTTTCCTTCTCTTACGTAATGTTTACACTAATTTGGAACCACTTCTTATTTTCAATGTGTGGAGATCTGCAAGTAGTTTAGCTAACCATTTACCGATGAGAATCTCTCCCTGTGGGCATTATTAGTATTGTTCTTTTATGCTGGAAATTAGGTTTAGAGCTAGCTTATAGTTGTTCATAGTCTGCCCTATTAGAGACTAGAGTGCCTCTTCTATATCACTTTCAAATCAGTTCTCTAAATGCTCATTTGAAGAAGCAAAGAGCATATTGAAGATAGAATACCACTGGCTGTTCAGTCAATATGAACTCTTGCACCTGTTCTCTTCAAGGAAATTTTGGACAGGCAGCTTAAAATAAAGGTTTCATGTTAAGTGCTTCTCTGTCAGTTTAAAACACCTCACATCAGGCAGTGTGTTTTATTAAATTATAATGATAAGTTCTTTATTTACTGGAAATGGTTTATGGAGATAACTTCAAAACAGATTTTCAAAAGTTACAAGCTCTTTTAATTAGTAAATCTCAACTGGCATTGGAATCGACTCATAGTTGACTATTCTTATGTGGAGAAAACTTAGTATATTGTTCTCCTGGTTATCATCAGTTATTTCATTATTCGTAGATTTTCTTAATTATCATTCATACACACATGTTGTTGGCTTTTCTTTGAAATTGCCGATATACCACGTTATAGAGTGAGAGTAGTTATAATGAACATTTCATGGTACAGGAGGAAAAGAAGCACCTGCATGGAAATTAGCCTAAATAGAACTATTGAAGTTTCTTATTGTCCACCATTTCCTTCTTCACAGAACCACGGAAGTAAAGAAGTATTTGCTTGTTTACTCTTTACAGTCTTCTATAGGTGTTTTGTTTGTTCTATCCGAAAAGCATTCTATCCCATTAAAAGATATATGCTTTGGTTGAGAATTTTTGCGGCAAACAAATGTACCAAACATACCAAACACATCCTACCCGGAGTTAGGGTCTTGGGGTGCTAGGGTTGTGGTGGAGAAACCATAAAAGTGCAAATGCGTAATAAATTGGTAAAGGAAGAAAGTGGGTTTAAAATAGAGAAGGGGAGATATTAGTGAAACAAACTACAAAAGGAAGGGGAAAGTTAAATGGTACAAAGTGAGTATAAGCATGCGAATTTTTTGTTACTGTGTTCGTGTTGATATATGCAGAAAATGCACCCCTTGACTGCTGACCAGGTTTCCACAAAAGTAAGATTAACCATGCCGATTCCTGGCATTTAATATTCAACTAGCTCATTGTGGCCTAACTAGAGTATAGTTTAGTTCAACATGACAAAAAAAGTTGAAATGGAAAATTCTGGTAGATCATAGATGACCTCTGGAGTCCTCTGTTGGTTAGTGACATGTGACCCTTTTGCTTTTGAATTAGGGATTTGTTGTTGCTGTTGTATTAGGATAGACCACAATGTTAATGGTCTCTTCTGAATACAATTAGGTTGAACAAGTTACAAGCGTGCGCCAAAAAGGGTCTTTAAAAGGCGTGTATGTACCGCAGACCAGTTAAAAAACACGATCGGTAAACCCAACCCCCCCCCCACACGTTTTCTGGATATTGAACACAAGTTTTAATCTGAAACCCTAAATGTATCTTTACCAGATCAACCTGTAAATTTCCCGTGTTGGGGTTTTACATGAACTAAAATCCAACCTGCCCGACTTATTTGATAGGTCTACATCCAACCAATCACATTTCCTCTCTCTCTCTCTCTCTCTCTCTCTCTTTCTCTCTCTCTTTCTCTCCATTTTCTTTCATGAAAAAAGATGGTTGGTTTAATGTTCCACTTTTCACGTGTACAAATCAATGATGAAAATGAAAAAGTGGAAGGCGGAGAATTTGAGTTGGCAGAAGATACGTCTTCATTTACACAAGGGAATGGATTATGCATTAGATTCACGTTGTTCTCTTATTTTGCTGGTATTGCTGATATGACTTTGATTTCCAACTTTCCATGATGGCATGTATTTTGGTCTTCAATATGTCTGTGTAATATGTTGACTTGTTGAACTTCTATTTTTACCAAGCTTTTGATTTTTCTACATCTTATAGGCATTGCATGCTGGCTGTTTCAGTTTGACGTAGTATGCTGCTATTCTTCTGGGTGTTTATGTTGGTGATCTGCAACCATTTTGTTCAATACTCCAGCAACTCGTAAAATGAAATCAAGTTCCAATGCAGCATCTAGAGGCAAGAGGTCTACAGCTTTGCAGGGAGAGGGCCCAAACTGGATTCTAATTGCAGGTGGTGCTTTAATAAGTACTTTGTCAGTTCGCTTGGGCTACAAGCTCAAGCAGGTTCTTGATGCAAAACAACAGAACAATGCTGACAACACTTCAAAAGGTCTGGTATAGTCCATTCATTGCGGATTTTTGGGTTATCCAACAAGTTTAAGTGTTTTCTTAGTTTGTATAATTTATTTGAATACAGGAAATGAGAAACCTGCAGAGAGAAGGAAAGCAAGGAATTGCCGTGTGCAGTCCAGTACATGCAGTTTCAGCCAAGATGACGAAAACTGCTATAATTGCCGTTCAGGTCTGAAATCGTCTAGGCATTTAATTGGAGCTCTTGCTTATTGTTTATGATTTTCTCTTGTCTTGTTTTTGTAATCACTGCTTCATTTAACTTAGCTGCCTCCTGCAACTATATGATAGATGACAGATGATTTGGTTTCATGGTTAATTCAATTCTCTCTCAAACAACAGAGTAAAATAAGTAAAACACATCTGCTTCCTTTCAATAAATGCTTGTGAGTGCACCCATGCTCTCATGAAATGCTTTTAATAATGATAATCTTGAATGAACAGGAACAGGAGACATGATGGAGATGAAACAGCAGTGCGGCGGCCAAGTACTGAGAGATACTGAACTTGAACTACCTCTAGTCACCGTGCCTTCTCTTGAATTCAGTAAAGAGAATGGCGGGACATGGTCATCCGCCACAGATCGTCTTGAGCTGCCACAGAAGCCATTCCACCACTCAAACAGCTCTGAGTCACCGTGTGTTTCTGAATCTGGTTCTGACATTTTCAGCAAGCGAGAAGTAATACAAAAGCTCAGACAACAGTTAAAAAGAAGGGATGAAATGATACTAGAGATGCAGGAACAGATTGTGGAGTTGCAGGGAACTTTGAGTGCTCATGTTTCCCATTCCTCCCATCTCCAGACTTTGCTTGATGTTGCCAACAGCAATCTTTATGAATCCGAAAGGGAAATTCAAAGGCTGAGGAAGGCAATTGCAGACCGTTGTGTCGTGCAAGTGGATTCCTTTGATAGTAATGGTCATTTCGAAGGAGGCAGAAATGGGTATGAAAATGGCCATTTTGACGGCGAGAGACATCCGATGAAACCTTCAGACAAGAGGGGGAGAGGGGATGGGGAAAGGATAGAAATGCTGAAGGCTGAAGTAGCCGAACTGAAGGAAATCATTGAAGGGAAAGAATATCTGCTGCATAGCTATAAGGAACAAAAGGCGGAGCTCTCTACGCAGATTAAGGAGATGCAGCAGAGATTGGATTCTCAGCTCCCAAATATTTTGTAGGCAGAGTTTATAAGGCATGTGTAGTCTTGTTTGTTTGGCTTCCAATAGAACTTCAATCCACAATCCCCCATAATATGTCGGGTTTAAGTCCGTTTTATTGGCTCATTTTCACGTTTTTTTTCTACTCCCTGGTTGTCTGGTGTGGAACTGTGTATATGTTGGAGGGAAAGTGAGTCATTTTGCAGAACAAGTTTCGCCCGGGCTATTTCTTTGCATAAAGGGTAGACCCCTACTCTTCTTGTTTTCTTCTTAAATTTCCTCGTGAAAAGCTCAGCTCTGGGATTTCATTGCAAATCTAAAGCTTGTATATCCAAAATGGAAGCTGGAGAGTTATCAATTCACTCCAGTAAACCAACATAGAACCAGAGGCCCGAGCCAATGCATGGCCAGCCTGGGTAGCTGATTGTTTGGCATAGTGCTTAGTTAAAATAGGAATGATTTGCACAATCACTCTCTGTGAAGATCCTGGTTAGTTTACAATTTGATTTATTTCTAGAACTATAATTTCTAAACTGTGTGAAGATTTTGGTTACTTTCCAAAAAAATTCCAGCTTCAATTTCTGGGTTTTGTCCTAAAAGTTTGGATGCAAGGCTCCTATCATACATTATACGTAAATTTTGGAGCATTCTGACTTCAATTTCTGATTAGTTTTGCCGCAGTATTTTAATCCAAGGGCTCAAATTAAGCATATTTTAAGCAACATTGATTCACTCATTAAAAATGTGTATTCAATTCGGATTTTAATAGATCTTAATAGATTGTTTAGAATCTGTGGATTATATATAACTAGGGATTATTTTAGTTCTACGGGATATATTTTAACGTATTTTATCAAAGCGGTTTTAAAAAAGTTCTGTGATTGTTAAAATAGACATGCAGCCATAAAGAAGAAGAAAACCAGGAAAGTGGGAACATCATTCCCAGGCGGAGGGAGTATTAGATTTGTTCATTATATTGATTTTTTGGAAAAAAATTCATTTTTACTTTTTTACAGTCAAAATTTGATTTATGCATAGTTATGGTAAACTTCATTACGTTTTAAATTAGACCTGGCAAAAAGTGACCCGACCTGTTTTTGACCCGAAACCCAACCTGAAAACACTGGGTTTTGAACAAAGGTTTTGATGACCGAACCCGAAGTTGACCGAACCCAAAATGACTTGCTAAAAATGGGTCAAACCCGACCGAACCCGAACCCGACCTGACCGACCCGCTAAAGTAAGAATTTTTCAAAATTATACACTTTTTTTACTTGTTTTTAGTGTATAAATTTATATTTTCAGATAAAATTTTAATGATATTGCATAATTATCTTACTTTTTTCCAAAACTTAAACATTTTTAAATTCCTTATATTGATTTATATATCTAAAAACTACTTTAGAGTTTAAAATAATATAATTTTATGGATTTAGTATTTTTTTTTTGATATTTTAAATTTTTTTAATAGAAAATGTAAGTGTTAATGTGAATTTAAAAATTTAAAAAACCAAAGTCATAACCCGTTGGGTCGACCCGAACCCGATGACACTGGGTCATGAACATACATTTCTCAACCCGAACCCGAATTAACCCGAACCCGAAATAACCCGAACTTGAAGTGACCGAACCCGACCTGACTGACCGATTTGCCAGCTCTATTTTAAAACCAATTAATTCATAGGACGGGAGTTAATTATATACCAAAAGATTATTTCCGAAAAGGAAACAAATTCGTAACCTTAACGTGATATCATAATTAATCGGGATGTGTATCAATATCAATATAACATTCTATGATTAAAATGGTTTGTTTCTTAATTGGAAATTATATAAATTACGAATCCGTAAATTTAATGCATTAATTAATAAATTTACACCTTAACGTGACATTATTACCTTTTATGGACAAATATTATTTTTAGTTGAATGGTAATAATTTTTTTTATTATATCACTTCCAAATTTATAAAAAATTCGGTATCTCTAAACAGAAGTTTATGTAAATAAGATTTTTTATATTTTGTTTCCTTTTTAGAAATATATTAGGCGAAAAGGAAACAAAATTAAGTAATTAATCCGTACCTTCCTTTTTTATCACAATCAAGTAATTGCTATATTGGTTACTCCCTCCGTCCCCCAGTTTTTGTCCAGTTTTGACTTTTGGAACTGTTCTTCTAAGTACTTTGACTCATCAAATTCTCTCGATGTGTAAGCCTAAATATAGTCATATATGATCTTGTTTGATAAAATGGATTAAAGAAGTGCATTGGATGATGTGTAAAAATGAAAGTGGATAAATACTCTTGGGACGGAGAGAGAATTAGTTACGTAAATTGATTACAGTCAAGTAATCAATTTGATTACACAACATATTAGTTACCTAGCTTCCTTTTCGGTCATGCGCAATGCATTTGTTTCCTAACATTGAATTAGCCGAAATTTTCTTTAATTTATCCTTCTAAATCGGTAATATTACACAACCAATCATAGTCACAGATCTTCTTTATTCTTTAATATCGACGGTGCAGGAAATGAGTGCATTGTGCGGGAAAATAATTCCCCTGCTTTTAAGAATAGAGTAATTCTATATTACGATTAATTATTGTTGTTTATATTTTTAGTTTTTTTTAAAGTTTATAATATGGTTTAGAGTATTTAATTAATAGTTAAAAAATAACTTAAATCGAGTAGTCAACTATTTGCATTTATATTGCTACGATTTTTTACATATCATATATACCCATATAAATAAAGCGAAGTATCTAATAAAGTTCGCTTTATTCGGTTTGGTTCGATTTTCCAAAGTAAAAACCAAAACGGAAATCAAACAATAACAGTTTGGTTCAACTTTTTTACATTCGGTTTCGGTTTTTTCGGTTCGATTTTTTTCTAACTCGTTTCGATTAGTTTCGTTTCAGTTTGCGGTTTTTTATTTTTCCAACCCAGCCCTATATATGACATCATGTATGATGTCAATATACTCCGTAGCATGGAGAAAATTAGATTAGTCATATGGCGCGTTTGTAAATCCACCATTTTAGCAGATCAATCAACCGCCACTTCCCCCACATTACCCGCCCATTATCAGAGCAGAGTGGTTTCTGTCTCCACCCAAATGTCCACGCCCAGCTCCTTTCGTCTTCTTCGATCATGTTCTTCTCATACGCGTTAATGCATCAATCAATCCCTTATTTTCTGGTCAATGTATATATGTTGGCCGAGTCAAAAACTCTTTACAACTCTCAGGAGAAATTATACTCCGATCCCCCCTTATAAATAACTGGCAACAATTACCGGTGCCTGTAAATATTTCTCCATTTCAATGGCCTCCGTTTTCCCCTTTCTCTCCCTCATCCTGTTTTTCGCCCTCGCCTCCTCTTCCGGCGACCACCCGGAGCCGGAATCTAGCACCGGTTTACCTCTGTCCGCCCGAAACGCCTGCAAAGTCTCGGCTGACCCGGCGGCGTGCGAGCACGCGCTGGCTAGTTCCGGCAAGTTGTCGTCCCAGTCCCCGACGGCGATGGAGATCATCGAGGCGGCCATGGGAGTCTCTGCGGACGGGCTTGCGAAGGCCAAATCCATGGTGAGTGGAATCTTGGAGGAGTCCGCCGGCAACCGAAACCGGTCGGTCGCGGCCAACACGTGCCTCGAGCTGTACGGGTACGCCGAGAATCGGATGAGATCTGCCGGGAAAATTCTCCGGGGCGGCGAGATCAAGGACGCCCGGGCGTGGATGAGCGCCGTCCTCGTGTACCACTACGACTGCTGGTCGTCGCTCAAGTACGTCAACGACACCGGGAAGGTGAACAGCACGATGGCGTTCACGTGGTCGCTCCTCGGACTGACCAGCGACGCGCTGGGCATGTTGGTCAGCTACGACCGTACCGGGAACGACACCGAGTCGTGGCGGATGCCGGAAACAGAGCGTGACGGATTCTGGGAGGAGGACGGCGGATCCGGATCCGGGTCGGACATCAACGGTGGAGTTCCATCGGGGTTGATCCCGAACGTGACGGTGTGCCCGCTCCAAAAGAGCGGCTGCGACTACCAGAAAGTGCAGGACGCCGTGAACGCCGCGCCGGATTTCATCTCGGCGGGGAAGTTTGTGATTCAGATAAAGGCCGGAGTTTACGAGGAGATCGTTCGGGTGCCGTTTAATAAAACGAATGTGGTGTTTTTAGGGGAAGGCATGGGCAAAACTGTCATTACAGGAAACCTGAGTGTGGGTCTCCCTCCTTTCAACACCACGTACCACTCCGCCACCGTTGGTAAGTCAACTAGCAAAATTAAATTATGTGTTGACAAGAACCTAATCAGGTTGGAATAAATCCACAGCTATTCAAATTTGATCGGACTAGTCTTTTAAGAAGACCGGTACTATTTAAAACGATAACGATTCCGTCTTTTTTAATTTTATACTCCCTCCATCCCTGAGTGTTTGTCCACTTTCATTTTTGCACATCATCCAATGCACTTCTTTAATTCATTTTATCATGTAATTTGTATATTAAAAAATTATAAAAATTATATATTAATAATCTATATGTTAAGACGAATCAAACAAGATCACACATGACTATTTTTAGGCTTACACATTGAGAGAATTTGATGAGTCAAAGTGCTTAGATGAACAGTTCCAAAAGTCAAAAGTGGACAAACACTCAGGGATGGACCAAGTATGATTTTTAAAATGTTAATCTTTAGTTTTTAACAAAAACAAAAAACCATAAATATTACGACGTACCTTTTTTAATCTAATTTATTCGATTAATACAGTTTGTTGTTTTTTATAAAGTACTCAGTATGTATGCAACATAAATGTATTTTTATGAATATTAACTTGTACATTTGAGTTTGCTATTTCATATTTTTAAATTTATAAAAAGAATATGAAGTATTAAGTTGTATATTAATGAGATAAATGTATCTCTATTTAAAAATAATTAGAAATAATCCTAAATAGGACTAAAACATAGAGAAAAGTAGCAAAATAGAACTTTCATATTTTTTTATCGAAATAGGATTTCGCACTGTGGTAATGTGACACTGTACATGTGCACATTACTATACTTGTTTGGTAATATACATGACCATGTTTGGTAATGTAAGTCATATTTCGAGAATAAAAACATAGAAGTCTTGTTTTGATATATATTCAATGTTTTAATCCTATTTTAGTCTTTTTCCCTTAAATAATATGCTAAAAGAATAGATGATTTATATAAAATTTATATTTTAATGCTACAATAGTTCAGTCCCAATCTAGCCCTTTCACAAAAGAAAGATTCAATTATGAACCTACAATCTCAAACTTACAATCTCAAAATAACAAAAGACTTTTTTTGTGTAGAATGTCAATAGTTGAGAGCTCATTTGGTGCAATTCTTTATACACTTTACATATTTTGCTCACTCAGGGAGTATTCCGTATTTTTGTGCTTTTAAAAAGGTTCTTTTACAAATTATTGGTCTCGGAAGTACGAGTAAATCCGGATATATTTCATAGATAATGATAAAAGATTACTTTTGTGGTTACAAAGTCAATAGTTGAGAGCTCATTTGGTGCAAATCTTTATACACTTTATATATTCTCCTCAGTCACGAAGTATTCCGTGTTTTTGTGCTTTTAAAAAGCTTCTTTTACATATATTGATAAATTTTTGGTCACATTCTTTTATCATAGAAAAAAATAATATCTAATTATAATATAAATTTAATATTATAAGATTATCGTTTTGATATATAAATTTTTTTATGAAATTTATTTATTTAAATTATGTTTAATTTATCTTTAAAAAGGCCACTATTTGATCTGATGAAATATTGATGTATTTTGTTGTAATGAATCAGCTGTGGCGGGCGATAGATTCATGGCGAGGGATGTGACGATCCGAAACACGGCGGCGGCCGGAGGTCACCAAGCAGTGGCCTTCCGATCAGACAGCGATCTTTCCATCGTAGAGAACTGCGAGTTCGTGGGGAACCAAGACACTCTCTACGCCCACTCCCTCCGCCAGTACTACAAGTCCTGCCGCATCCAAGGCAACGTCGACTTCATCTTCGGGAACTCCGCCGCTGTCTTCCACGACTGCCGGATCTTCGTGTCCCCCCGGCAAGACGCTCCGGAGAAGGCGGCGAAAAACGCCGTGACGGCCCAAGGGCGGATCTACCCCGGCCAGTCCACCGGATTCGTCTTCCAAAACTGCGTCGTCAACGGGACCCGGGAGTACATGGAATTGTTCCGGAAGAGTCCGGATTCGTTCAACCAGACGTATCTAGGGAGGCCATGGAAGGAGTACTCGAGGACGGTGTTTATACAGTGTGCGCTGGAGGGTCTCATTTCTCCGGCGGGGTGGATGGTGTGGGACGGCGACTTCGCGTTGAAGACCCTTTATTACGGGGAGTTTAAGAACGCCGGTGCCGGAGCGGCCACGGCTGCACGGGTGAATTGGAGCAGCCAGATTCCGCCGGAGAATGTCGCCGCCTACTCTCTCCAGAGCTTCGTTCAAGGTCATCTATGGATTCCAACATCCCACTGATTTTGAGCGCGCTATGACACAAACTAGAGGGTCGTTGGGGCGGTTTCTCTAATTAATTTAATACAATTATTATTATTATTATTATTATTATTATTATTATTATTATTATTAATGTTGTTGTTGTTGTTGTTGTTGTTGTTGTTGTTGTTGTTGTTGTTGTTGTTGTTGTTGTAGGACCTCAGGCGCTACCAACTCTTCTAAAACCAATTGGTGTTAGAAGAGGCGCATACTCTAGCCTTATAGTGCATTCACCACACAAGCGCCCACGACATTCGATTGTGACTTGGCCCAAATAGCCTCCGCCACGGAACAATTGATGCACACATAGCCAACAATTATTATTATTATTATTATTATTATTATTATTATTATTATTAATGTTGTTGTTTTTCTTATTTAAGTGCACACACAATGAACCACACTCTTATTAAGGAGTGCTTTTTATGTGTGAGATGGCCCGGCTCAAAATTTAAAGGATCCCGTAACTGATGAGTGTCGGGAAGGGGTGACCGGTAGAGATCAGACTGGAATGAAACTCGAATAACAATAATTTGAGGACTGAGGACCGGACTGAATAAAGTATGGACCGGCTTGGGACCGGACGGAATGAGTAATTTTTTATATTTAAAAATTAATTTTATTAATTTAGTTTAAAGTGTCAATGGTAGGAATGTATATATATTATTAATTTTTAATGTGCAACATACACCATTGATTTTAGTATTTTAACATTTTAAATAAAACATTTCCTCCAATTCGTCCCATAAAAAAACTCTATTTTTGACTTCAAAAAGCACCTTAAATAGAAGTAAAACATAGGGAAAGTATCAAATTAGGAGTTCCATATTTTTATTCCCTAAATTGAAGTTTACAATGTGGTAATTTGGCACTGTACATGAATATTGACGGAGGATATCCCCACATCAGCTCGTAGTATCAGGGCCCATATCTAAGTAGGCGGAGCTCGGTCATGGCCTCTGCTCGGTAGAGGCCATCTCGGCTCGGTCCTCAGGCTCCACCCTCCTCGGCATGGACCGGATGATAGCGACTGGATTATAGGGACCGTGTGATAGTGACAAGGTGAAAACGACCGGACTATAGAGGTCAAGTGACGTCTACTAGACGACAAGTGTCAGTTACAGGAGTTGACTTAGTTGTATTGTTGAATCTATAAAAGGGTCAAGGCCTCCTCATTGTAAAGGATCTGAATCCAAGTTAATAATACTCCTACTCTGTACTCTCTTTCTCTCGCTAAACTCTATACAACTAGCTTACGTGGCTTACTGACCCCACGGTCAAGATCTTCAGTGGTTTATTGCCATTAAATTGGTGCTCTCGTTGAGAGAAGAGAAACATACTCGTAGGTTAACTCCCGAGAACGAGAATGATGCAAACAAGGAGCAATGTCCCCACCACCAACCACGCCCCCGGCGAGGAAAACGACCCGAGAAACAGTAACGACACTAAATGGATTACCTCGACCCTTGATACGGTCCATGCGCTGTTCAGCATGGGGTGACCGTAGAGCAGCTCCAGGCCCCGGAAGGACCCAACACCAAGCATGCTGCCACTTCCCAGCACAAGAGGAAGAAGACTCGAAGGAGAGGTCCGGCAAGGTGCCAATGATTGAGGAGGTGCTGGAAGAGGGCATTCTAGAAGGGGAGGATGACGAGTCCAGCGAGTGCCGAGTGTCCGCCTTCAAGCGGATGGGGGGCGACGAAACCCACGTGTCGACCTTCGACCGGCTCAATCTTGGACACGACGGTCGCCAGGGTGATCTTCGTCGACAGATCTCAGAGGGCAGAGGCACGTCGAGGGATCGGCGACCTCGGACGCGCGCTTGGGGAGGCCGAAGTGTACTGACGGGCGACGGGACTTACAACGAAATTATAGTAGTAAAATAAGATTTTACAATATCAAAATTTGGATTTTTTGGTACTAGGATGGATCGCGATGGTCGACCATTTCGTGCAGTGGTCGACCGTTCCATCACTGTGCTAATGGACACACAACGGTCAACCGTTCCGGGCAACGGTCGACCCTTCTTCTACAACGGAACATTACTTCATCTTCAACCTTGGTTCAACTTCTTCTAGCGGCAATATTCTAACTGACTACTGAAAGTTGTCTTAGCGCTGAATCGCTTGAGACACTTATTTGCAACCGAGATTAACTCTTGGCAAGGCGTCGAATACAAGAGGTGGGTAACGACATTGATACACAAAATTACATGAATGCAACCATGGAGGGAAGTGATTGTTCCGAGGATTAAATTTGTCTTTTATAAAATGTAATTAATTTTTTTAGGTGAGCATTTTATAAGCTCCTTCGAGAGTTTCTTTACGGTTCTTTACCTTGTTGCTTTTTTTCGAAACCGTCAGGATAATAAATGTAGTTGTAATATTCTCAACATCCTTCATTTAAATAACAACTACATTATTAGAATTTATAAAAAATCATAAATTCCTTCTACATTACTTATTATTCATATATTAGAATATTAGATTTATATATTAAAATACTCCGTATTAGATTTAAAAAAATTGATTGTGAACCAGTCCAGAACCGGACCCAGGACCGCCTGGTCTGGGCCCGTCTAGTGCCGGTCATGGTGCCCTTAGTCGGTGGTACCGGAATTGCTGATTCTGGAACCTGAACTGGACTGGAACTGCACCGTGTCGTGGCTTGCTTTGAGGTTAAAAGTAGGGGTGGGCAATCCGGTCTAGGAACCGGGAGTCGGAACCGGACCGCTAGGTTCGGTCCGGGTTAGGGTCGGTCCGGTCCTTATAGATTTTAGGGTCGGTCCAATTCCCTATTTTGAAATTGTATTGGACCCAGACCGGACCGTTTTTTTAAATCTCGATATTATTTTTAATATTATTTTTAGTAAATATACGGATATACAGAAATAGCTCCGCCTAAGCCCTTCAATCTTTCGGTCCTTCCAATCGTAGGCAGAAAAGTGAGAAAACTTTTCGTAGTCAGAGAGTCGGAACCCATGAAGATTGTGAATTTTGTTCTTTTTGGAACCCATTGACATTATAATGCCAAAATGTGGTTGTCTTCTTTTTTTTGTTGTTGTTGAATGATCATGGGGTGTACACTTTATTCTTATGCCCCTCTTTGTCATTGTTTTACTTTCATTTACGCCTCTTTTTTTTGTGTGTTGGATGACTTAAATTAATTTATGATCCCTTTATTTTTTAATAATATATCATGATAAGTTCGGACCCGTTGACCCGTGGAACCGGCTCGTTTCAAACAAGCCGGGTTAGGTCCGGTTTCACTTTTAAAATTTTGAAAACCCGTTTTGACCCAGACCGTTTTAATAAAAACAAGCCGAGTCCGGTTTATAAAAATCTTGGCTCGGACCCGCCCTTGCCCACCCCTAATTAAAAGTGTCCTCGTATTAGAAATCATCCTAAATAGGACTAAAACATTGAAAAAAGTACCAAAATAGGACTTTCATGTTTTTTTCCCGGAATAGGACTTTGCACTGTGGTAATGTGACTTTGCATTGTGGTAATGTGGCAGTGTACATGTGCAAATTACTATACTTTTTTGGTAATGTATATGACCATGTTTGGTAATGTAAGTCCTATTTCGGGAATAAAAACATTGAAGTCCTATTTTGGTATATTTTCAATGTTTTAGTCCTAGTTTGGTCTTTCTCCCTTCTCGTATTCGCATTGAAAAAGTCGCAAAGTTAAAAGTTAAATTAATTTACCCTAAAAGCCCGGCCGAAAATATGGGAAAAAATGGAGTATTTGGGTTCTCGTGTTTGCCTATTCGGAGACAATTACGGTTTGCTTAAAAGTTAATGAGTGGAAATAATCATATTCATTGCGTAATTTATGCTTTTTACTTTTGTTTAGGTTCAAACTTGCCGGCCTAAACTTAGGTCTCCAAGTTGTGAAAGTTATTATTTCTTCTGTCATAAATTAAACTTTTTATTTTTTTGAGTTGTTTCATATTAATCTTCTAATTTCTTTTTTTTATAAACATTTTGTGGCTTACCTTCTTCTTTTTTCTGCATCATTTTAAAGCACATCATTTCATGTTCTTAAATTCTGTATAAAGTAAAACTATGAAAAAATAAGAAAAAATTAATTTAAAACAGAAAGAGTATGTTATTATTGAGAGCTCGTCTACACTCAATTATTTACTACATGCACTCCACTTTTGTAATTTTTTCAAACATTGACAATTTGCCTCTCTTTTTGGATGAGTATACTCCGTGTATTTCTAACCTCTTTTTGTAAACTCCTACAGAGTACGGAATGTGCCCGCCAACAAAATTCATTATTTCTTGGGTCCCTTCTAACACGAATACTTTTAACATCTTATTCTTTTAAATTGAAAAAAAGAGTTGAAATTTTTAAAAATCTGAAAAAAGAGTTGGATATCTAAAAAATTAAAAAGAGTAAGAAAAAACTAATATGACTTGAAGAAATTACAAAGAATGGTAAAAAACTACAGAGTATAAGAGTTAGAAAAATAGTTATGCTAGGGGTACACAAAAAATGTACCCCAAATGTACATTATCCCCTTCTCTACCATTCATTTTTATTTGATTTTTATTTATTTATTTATTTTTGATTTTCTTGCCCAATTATGTGGACAAGGAGGGGGTGGGGGATAATTGGGATACACCAAAGGTATACCCCTAGCATTTTTCTTAGAAAAAACTTAAAGTGTTGGAAGAAACTTGGACTTGGAAAAAACTATTATATTTGTTTATATCATGTTTGCATTAAAAAAAATCTAGACTTCATTTATTTTAATTTTTGTCTCCTTCGTATTATTAATTCTCCTTATTTCCTTTTTGGTTTGTTTCAAATTAATATTTTAATTTCCTTATTTGAAAAGTTTTTTTTTGTGGTTCACCTTTTTTTCTTCTGTGCATCACTTTCAACTACACAATTTTATTTTTCTTAATAAAGTCGAACTTGGAGGATAAATTTGAGATGGAGGGAGTGTATTATTACTAATTATTAGAGCACTGGAAATACCCATGAAGCCCCGGGGCTTCAAACTTTTTCTCTCTACCACGTCAGTTTTAACTTTACCTCACAGTTTCAGTGTAAATCGGTTCGAAGCCCCGGGGCTTCAAACTGGGGCTCCAAATCATCATTTTTTACATTTTAAATACACATCTTCTAAAATTAAATTAATAAAATTTAATAATTTAATTATTTAAAAGAATTGAAACGAAAATAGTTCATTACAAAAATTAAATTCAATAAAAAAATTACATTGATTATAAAAAACTACATTAATTAAAAATTACATTGATTATAAAAAACTACATTAATTAAAAATTACATTTATGATAAAATAAATAAAATACTTAATTAATATTTTTTAAAGAGAGATGATATTTGTGTTGAATTTTTTAAAAAAAATTTAATTCAATTTATAGAGAAGGAAAAAAGAAGAAAGAGGGAGAAATTTTTTTTTTAATTTGTAAATAGACGTTGTTGGGGAGGGGGCGAGGGGTCTCCAAAACTTTCAAGCCGCGTCAAAACTTTGAAGCAGCAATTTTAGCAATTTTAACAGGAAAATAACGGAAGGGCGGTGTTTAACGCTCCCTCTACGTCAAAATGTGTATAAGAGTGCTGACGTCATGCCCATTATCACTGGTCTTATAGGGAGCTCATATCAACACTTAGGGGCTGTTTGTTTCAGCCTCTTAATGGTTCAGATTTCTGAATGGTTCAGCACTTAATGGTTCAGACTATTTGTTTCAGCCTCTTAATGGTTCAGATGTCTGAATGGTTAAGAGATTTGCCTCTGAATGGTTAAGTATTATACAGAGTCTGAATGGTTAAGACCTCTTATCTGAATTGATCAGACATTTGCCTCTGAATAGTTAAGCAATATACTAGCTCTTAATGGTTCAGACCTCTTACTGGTTCAGCACTTAATGGTTCAGACCTCTTATTGATTCAGCACTTACCAATTCAGAAGTTTCCAAACAGCCCCTCCTACTAGATGCACTCCACTTTTGAAAATTTTTTCAAACATTGACAATTATGCCCCTTTTAATTGGATTAGTATACTTTGTGTATTTCTAACCTCTTTTTGTAAACTAATAGAGTACGTACGGAATGTGCCCGCCAACGAAATTCGTGATTCCTTCGATCCTGCATAACACTAATAGTTTTAATATCTTGTTCTTTTATACTAAAAAAAGTGCCGAATTTTTTTAAAGTTTGAAAAAAAATGGATATTTAAAAAATTGAAAATATTTGAAAAAGCTAATAAGACCTGAAAATTTTATAAAGAATTGGAAAACACTATGAGAGTTTGAAAAGGTTGAAAGAGTTAGAAGAAACTTGAACTTCGAAAAAATGAAAGGTGTGGAAATAAATATTACTCCCTCCGTCCCCAATTTTTGTCCACTTTTGACTTTTGGAACTGTTCATCTAAGTACTTTGACTCATCAAATTCTCTCAATGCGTAAGCCTAAATATAGTTATGTGTGATCTTGTTTGATTTGTCTTAACATATAGATAATTAATATATAATTTCTATAATTTTTTAATATACAAATTACAAGATAAAATGGATTAAAGAAGTGCATTGGATGACGTGTAAAAATGAAAGTGGACAAAGACTCTGGGACGGAGGGAGTATATTTTTTGAAATTTCATATGTTCATTAAAAAAATCTAGACTCCATTTATTTTAATTTTTCATCTCATACTTCGTATTATTAGTTCTCCTTATTTTCTTTTGGGGTTGTTTCAAATCAATCTTCTAACTTTTTTTTAGAAAATCTTTTGGGGCTCACCTTTTTTTGTTCTGTGCATTAGTTTCAGTCACACAATTTTATTTTTTTAAAATTTGTATAAAGTCAAATTAGTAAGATTAATTTGGGACGAAGAAGTATATTATTATTAGGAGCTCATATCTACACTAAATTATTTACTAGATGCACTCCAGTTTTGTTATTTTTTTCAAACATTGACAATATTACCCCTTTTAATTGGATTAGTGTACTCCGTGTATTTCTAACCTCTTTTGGTAAATTCCTACAGAGTATGGATAGTGCCCGCTGATAGACAATAAATCCACCAAATGATCCGATTCAGAAAGCGGATCGAAGAATCTAATTAAGAACGGGAATTCGAGAATTGGGTATGTATTATTAGCTTGATTTTGCTTGAGTTCTCCCCTTTCGGGTCTCCTCTATTTATACATGAGCCTTAGACAATTAAGGTAATGCATAATCAATGGAGTCTATCCCGTCAATGGCGCGATCCCCTTTTTCCGGCTTCGTCTCCGCCATTCGGTTTCGTCTCCTCTTCCGGATTGACTCTGCCAGCTGTTCCTGGACCGGAGGTGACCGGGCCTAACTCTATGGGCCGGCCCGAGCCTGGATATCCTCCAAGCGCCTGACCGAAGTTGCTCAAATGATTCATTTGGGCCGCCCGGTGGGTATCAGCCCATCACAAGCCCCCCAACTCCTCAGTCCTCGACTGGGCCAAATTGAGGAATGGGGAGTTTACGAAGTCCACGTGGGCGCTCCGGCGTGGATCCGGGCCGTTTCTTGGGCTCCGCGTGACACTTGGGCACGATCTCCACGAATAGGTAATCATGATCTGCCGCTTCGCCTCCCCATTGTGAGTTAAAAACCGCCGCTGGGCACCATCTCTTTCTTTCGCTTTTGTCATCATCATTTGTCTGCAGTTCCGCTGCTACCCGACCCGTTCTTCTTCCTTTCCAGGTCAGTTCCTTTTCTCGCCGCCATGATTGTTTCAGATTCCGATTCGGCCACCCCATCGTCCAATTCTCGCCAAGCCGATCAATCGGCCTCTGGCCGTAACCCCGGCCATACTCAATCACCCCAGCCGTCGCCGTCGGCCGCGTCCGGCCATAAACGGCGTCGATTGAGGAAGCAATTCCCTTCCTCAACCCCGGTAGATGAGGGCTCGAGGGTTGGATTGGACGAAAACATCATGGCGCTGTGCCATTGCCAGATTACTGACCGGGGGTTCGCCGATGCTACTGACATGGTCGGACCTTCCATTGAAGTCATGAGACCTACCAGCACCCAAACCGCACTAGACGCTCCTTCAGGGTTCTTCACGGTCCATCTAGCGTCTTTGAAGAAGGGGCTGTGCTTCCCACTCCACCCGCTGTTGATCGAATTCCTCAACGTGGTGGACTTTCTTCCGTGTCAATTGGTCCCCAACTCTCACCGGTACATCGCCGGTTATCTGGTCCGGTGCAAGGTTGTAGGGGTGAAACCAACTTTGGACCATTTCCTATTCATTTTCAAGCTGACCAAGGGCCATAAGGATTGGGCGTCCTATGCTAGCCTTTCCCAGAGGTCCAGTAAGCTCTTTGCTCGTGACAAGAAGGGGTCAACCAAAGACTGGAAACCCTTCTTCGTTTTCGTCTCGACGGGGCCCGAATCTCCTTTCACGGGTTCAGGGCGCCCTTCCTTCCGCCGCATCCCATGCCCCCCATTTGATGCCACCCTTTTGTCCATCACTCGCCAACTCTGCAATAAGGGAGTTATGAACATCAAAGAGGTGGTGACAGAGGAAACCCTTGCCGGGTTGGGGTTTGAGTTTGTTCGGGATGAGCTTCGTCACCAACCCGACCTACTGAGGGACATTCCCGGGGGGCATCAGCCTGACCAGCTGAAGGACATCCCTGAGAAAGATCTTGACTGTGGTCCTTTTGGTAATTGACCTTTTCCTTTGTCCGGATGTTTAGTTTATCTTTTTCCAAGGCTGACCATTTCCTTTGTTTCCAGTGGAATTACAAGATTCAGGAGAAGAGATGGACGGCGATCTCCTACTCAGTCGCTTCACTGTAGGGAGGAAGAGGAAGAGAGAGGCGAAGGGCCAGGGCAAACGCTCTTCGTCCCACCACGGGGAGAGTCCTTCCCGAGAGCCGGTTGTAATTGTAGTGGAGGATCAGGATGATGCTACCCTAGAACCGGGTACAATGACGGGCCAGTCCCCTCCTCACTTTGTGATGCCGGGTGGCGACCTCGCTGGGTCGTCGCAAGGTGTTGCCTCGGAGCGACCTCCTTCGCCCCCCGCGGTGACCTACGAGGTGGCAACCAGGGGTCGCTCGACGAGGATTTGCATTCCTCCTCTGCCCCAAAGCTTAGGGGACGTGCAACTGGAGACCCTGATCACCCTGCCCGCGGAGGACCATGCCCGCATCTCGGCCGGTTCTGAGGACGACCTTGATAACATGGTCCTCTTGAGGCTAAGCCAGGTACTGGCACTGATTCTCTCTGCACCCCTCCTTCTTTTTACGTTCTTAACCCCCATGCCTTGGTGCAGGCAACGCTGGGGATGATTGAGGTGGTCGGTAAGAGACGGGGCCACCAAGCTGCCTTGGGCGAGGCGTTGAAGACATCGGAGGCCAGGCAGAAGGAATTGCAGGAGGAGGTCGCCCGACTCACAAGGGAGCTGGAGGAGAAGGAAAATCGCTGCGCGGCGCTCGCTGTGGAGAAAATTTCCCAGGAGAACCGCTGCGTCGCCCTTGAGGCAGACAAGGCCTCCTTGTCCTCGGAGGTAGAATCAGTTTCTGCTCGCGTGGTCGAGCTGGATAGGGAGAAGTCTGACCTGATCCAGCAGTTGGAAGTGGAGAGGAGCGACCGGGTCCGCCACGCAGAGGAAGCGGTGGAATACTTCAAGTCTTCTCCTGATTTCTCGATGGTCGCGATGGAGCGGATGGACGAGCTAACAGCCGCTTGGCTCAAAACTGAACCTGGGGCTCAATGGATGGTCAGGGAGGGGACCAAGTCCTTCAATTGTGGACTCTTCCGCGCCCAACAGGTCTTCTGCGACAAACTGGCTCAGCTTCCCAAAGGATTCTCTCTCCCCGACCTCGGCTTTCCCCCTCCTTGCCGTTCCTTGGCCGAGTTCGACCCCCGTCCTTACTTGGACGGAGGGAGCTCAAGCGCGTCTGAAGAAGAGGAGGAAGAAGAAGAGGAAGGTGGACAGGGCGACCAGACCCCCGGGGTCAGCTTAGCCACGTCCAAGGCGGGTGGACATTCCGGCTCGGCCGTCTAACCTCCCCTGTTGTTCCCCCACAGCTTCATAAACACTTGCTTTTTTTTCTTTTTGGAATGATATGTCGTTTTGATACAATGCTCCTATGTTGTTTGGTTTTCTGGATTTACCCTGTGATTTTCTTTTTCTGCGTTTTACTTCTGCACTCTCTTCTCTAGTTTAGCTGGTTAACATGGGCATTTTCGTTAGGGCCCAACTTCTAATCCCGGCCCGATTACCTGACCAGGCCCAATCTCAGGATTGGCCAGCGTGCCGCCCAACTGACCCAATGCCTCTTGCAGTCTCTGATTGGACCTTCGCGCGGCTCAAAGCTGCTTTATCGGTTCAGCTGCCTTGGGACTTGACCGTCTCTTCGGTTTCTTCACCTGGGCCTATTTATAAGCCCCCCTAGCCCTCATTTTGTTCCATCACCAAATATTTTTCTCTTCTCCATCTTTGTCATGTCTGAAGGTATTCCTGTTTCTCTGAATCTTTCCGATGGGCCGGCTCCTTCTTCGCCGGAGCCTACCTCCTCCCCCAAGTCAGTCAATTCCAATGATTGGGAGGGGCTAGACCCTTACGAATTTTGTCGCCGATTGCCTCGCCGGCAGTGGCCGTCGGTGAAACCGCCGCCAATACCACCAAACCCTTATGAAGACTTCAGCGAGGCGTACAAGGCCCTCTCCGCCAACCGTCTGCCTGACGGGCGGATTGACTGGATGCCCCATGCCCCCTCCATTCACTGCAATGCATGGCCTGGGAGAGCTTCCACAATGAGCACCTACCCCTCCTGGAGCATGAGTGCGCATATTACGCAAGTCTGGAGCGGTGGACTAACGAGAGTCGCACCAGTTCACCAGTGAGGCCTAAAGATGAGGTTGTGGTGGGGGAAGAACTGGGTTCTTCCCTACCCCGCCCTACTGGTCGCTCACCTCCCCGGAAGGCCCCTAGGCGATCCGGGGTAGCTTAAGCGGCTTCAGGGTCTGCATCCTCATCTAGGTGATGCTGATTGGGGCTCACAGAAAAGTGAGTTGCCCCCCGTCCTTCCCTTGCAGGAGAAGGACGGTGGATTTTGGCCGAGGCTGGGGGCGACCACTCCTGTTCCATGATGGGGAAGAAAGGTGGTCGCTCTGGACGGCCGGTGATCGGGGCTCTGCCGGTCTATACAGCTGCAAAATTACCTTTCAACCTGGCCTGTTCTCCCCGCGTCCTTCGTCCTTTCTGGGCCTCAGCCGCTCACAAAGTTCTAGATTTTTCTTTTTCCTTGTAAGAAATGTATGGGAAAACGTCCATTTTTTTGAAAGTACGTAGAGATTGTTCTCGACTGTATTGTAGTTGATGCAAGAGATTATCCTTGAAATGTTATGAACATTTTCATGAATGTATTTTGATGTTACTTGTTTACTTACAAGTTTCATCTTCTTCTCTTTCGCATCTTATTTTAAGCGTTCAGGTTTCTTCAGACCTTATTCAGAGAATACCCCGCCTCTTTTGACTTAGCCATTTCCGGGTTATTTCAACCCCTATGGCGTCGCCATACCTCCAAGATCCCCTGGTTGCTCATGCGATCAGCAGATCTTATGTTCCAGACTCAGCCATTTTTTCAGGCTTTCTTGCCACGGCGTCGCCCTCTGGTTAGTCGCGTCACTTGACAGCCCTGAATCTTGGTCGCTAGAAAGGGTTCGACACTTCACCCCCTGTTGGGTATCTTAGCACGAATCACCCTACAGCTCAGGCTTAGCGATCTCTTTTGGTCGCTCCTTTTTTTTTGAGAATTGAAGTCAAGATATGCCAGAATGCTGGTTTTATTAAACTTTAAGAGAGAAATATGGCAGGCATACAATCTATTGGTAAAATTTAATAAGGTTGGCTGCATTCCATACTCGCGGAACGTCGCCTCCGGCTGGCGTCTGCAATCTAAATGTCCCATCGGCCAACACCTCCTTTATAACATACGGCCCTTCGAAGCTCTTAGCAAACTTCCCTCCATCGGTCGGCCGACTGACCTCCCTTTTCCTAAGGACCCAGTCGCCTACCTTGAACTGCCTTGGTCGCACCCGTTGGTCGTGGTATGACTTGACCTGCCGGGGGTAGTTCTCTGCCCGTATGTACGCCCTTTCTCTTCGTTCATCAATGAGGTGCAGCTCTGCCCTCAAGTTTTCTTCATTCTCCTGGGCGTCGAATATCTCCACTCTATAACTTAGCAGCGACGTCTCCGCTGGAGCCCTTGCTTCAAATCCATATGTGAGCGAGAAATGAGTTTCACCTGTGGCTTTTCTCGGGGTGGTTCTATAGGTCCACAAGATGTAGGGCAATTCCTCTACCCAGGCGCTTTTGCATTCTATTATCTTCTTCTTGAGGCCGTCCACGATAGTACGATTGGTGTTCTCGACCTGCCCATTGGTTTGGGGGTACCCAACCGCTGCATAGCTGTGCTTTATGCCCCAGCTCTGTAGAAACTCATTGAACCCTTTGGCCTCGAACTGGGTTCCATTGTCGGTGATGATCTGCTGGGGCACCCCAAATCGGCACAAGATTTGCTTGGACACAAACTTCCTCATTTGTTCTTCGGTGATGGTTGGCACGGGGGCGGCCTCGACCCACTTGGTGAAATAGTCGATTGCGACCACTAGATACGTGTTGTTCCCTGTCCCCCAAGGCAAAATGCCAACCAGATCAATACCCCACCGGGAAAGGGAATTGCCGTGCTGATTGGGGTATAATTCGTCGCCGGTCGCCCCAGCATCCTTTGGAATTCCTGGCAAACCTTGCATCTTCGCACGTATTCTGCACTATCTCTGATAATCGTTGGCCAAAAGTATCCTTGTAGTGTTACCTTCCTGGACATGGTGAAGGCTCCCTGATGCGCTGATAATATCCCTTCATGGATTTCCTCCATTAACTTCTACGCCTCGTCCGCTCTTAGGTATCTCAACAATGTACCATTGTACGACCGCTTGTACAGCCGACCGCACTCCAGCGTGTAGCTGGGTGCACGTCATTTTACCACCTTTGCTGCGATTGGGTCGGTATGTAGCGACCCGTCAAGGAGGTACATGGTAATCTCATTGATCCAATCCACTGGCTCCTTGAGTGTGATGACCAATACTTGTCCGAGACTAATGCTTGGTTCGAGCAATTCTTCTTCCTGGGTCATTGCCTTGATATGATCTGGGGAATCCGGGCCAAGCTTTGACAAGATGTCCGCCTCAGCATTCTCTTCTCGAGGGACCTACTCTATCCGGTACGCTCCAAACGCTTTGAGCAATTCCAGGGCGGTGTCTCTATACTTCTTCATTCGCTCATCCTTGGCCTCAAACTCTCCGGTGACATGACCTACTATTAGCTTGGAATCGCATCGGACTTGAATTCGTTCAGCTTTTAATGAAGCTGCTAGCCTCAAACCGCAAAGCAGCGCCTCGTATTCAGCCTCATTGTTTGAGACTTTAAACCGGAATCTAACGGAGTAGTATGCTTTGAACCCTTCCGGTGATATCGCCACGATGCCTCCCCCGGAAGCATCAGTCGCGGACGAACCATCAGTGTACACAGTCCACCAGCTCCCTTCGGGTTCTTCTCCACTGGGCTCCACCTCTCTTGCGGTGCATTCTACCACGTACGAAATCTGCCAACGCCTGCCCCTTTATCGCCGGTCGTGGCTTAAACTCTATCTGAAAAGATCCCAGGAACACTCACCACTTGCTGACCCGTGACAGGGCATTTGGGCTTCGGAGAAGTGTTCCAATAGGGATTTGAGATAACACATGGACCGGCTGGGCTTGAAAATATGGGGTGAGCTTTTTCACCGTACATACCACCGCGAAGATGGTTTTTTCCATGTTCGTGTACCTTAGCTCCGCCCCTCGCAGCACCCGGGCCACATAGTACACAGGTCGCTGTACGCCCTCCTCCTCCCTCACAAGCACCGAGCTCACAGCTCGAGGAGAGATTCCTAAGTACAGGAATAGGATCTCTCCGGGCTCTGGCTTCGAAAGCACCAGTGGAGAGAGGAGGTATGCTTTCAACCCTTCAAAGGACCGTTGACATTCTTCGGTCCAGACAAACCCTCTGCTCTTCTTAATGGTCTGAAAGAAAGGAGCCGCTCGATCAGCTATTTTTGACAAGAAGCGACTGAGAGCAGCAATCCTGCCGGTAAGCTGCTGGACCTCCTTCACATTCCGCGGAGGTTCCATCTCCAAGATTGCTTTTACCTTTTCCGGATTAGGCTTAATCCCTCTTCGGCTGACCATGTGTCCTAGGAACTTGCCTCCCTGAACCCCGAATGTACACTTCTTGGGGTTAAGGCGAAGTTGGAACTTCTTCATGATCTTGAACACTTTCTCCAGGTCACCGGCATGGGACTCCATCTGCTGGGACTTGACGATCATGTCGTCCACATACGCTTCCATGCATCCCCCTAGCACTGGCGCGAACAGTTTGTTGACCATTCGTGCGTAGGTCGCCCCAGCATTCTTCAAACCAAAGGGCATCACCTTGTACCCGTTGGGGTGATGAAAGCGGTCTTTTCTTCATCCGCCGTGGCCATCTTGATTTGATGTTACCCACTGAATGTGTCCATGAAACTCATCAGTTCACACCCTGCCGTCTCGTCCACCAACTGATCAATGTTGGGCAAAGGGAAAGGGTCCATCGGGCAAGCTTTGTTTAGGTCGGTGTAGTCGACGCACATCCGCCAGGTGTTTCCTTTGGGTGCGAGGACTACATTTGCCAGCCAATCCGGGTAGCGGACTTCCCGGATATGTCCAATGGACTGCAGGGTCGTCACTTGCTTGGTGACAAATTCTCTCCTTTCCGAGGACAGGAAACACTTCTTCTGTTTGACTGGTCTGTAGGCCGGGTCCACTGCCAACCTGTGGCAAATTATCTTCGGGTCGACCCCCGGCATGTCCTCTGGGCCCCAAGCGAATAGCACTTTGAACGCTTGGAGGACCTCCAATAACTGCCCCTTTAGTCTGAGTGGTAAGGTTCTACCTACCTTTACCTTCCGCTCTGGCTTAGTCGGATCCAAAGAAACTTCTTCGACTTCTTCTTCTGGCTCAGCCCGAGGTCGCCCCTCTTCCTTTTGAATTGCAGCACAGATCGTGCTCACATTCTCGTTGACCCGCGCTTGGCTTTTGGTCGCCCTAACGTAGCACGACCGTGACAAGCTCTGGTTCCCCTTTGCCACCCCACCCCTGTGGGGGTGTTGAACTTCAGGCACAGGTGGACGGGGGAGATTACGCACTCCAGGTCCTCCAACCCTGGTCGCCCTAGAATCAAATGGTGTGCACAGTCGAGCTGCACTACCATGAATTCCATGTCGATCCAGAGTCGGTGGGTGCCATCTCCTACCCCGGCCCTCACCGTGATAGTTCCTTCAGCTTCGATAGTATCCCCTGTGAACCCTGACAGTGGCGTATGGATGGGTTTCAGGTCGCTCTTAGACAACCCCAATTCCTTAAAGGTGTTGTTGTACATAACGTTGACCGAGCTGCCCGTATTGACCAAAGTTCGGTGGACAACAACATTATTGATTTCTACCTTTATCACCAGAGCGTCCCTGTGAGGGCTGAGGACTGGTGGATAATCCTCGTCCGTGAAGATCAGGGGCTCCTTCTTCTTCCGCTTAGGTAGCGGCGGCCTTTGTACCTCGGCCAAGTGCACCATGTTCTTCCACTTCTTCCGCGAGGATACCGAATCTCCTCCAGTATTTCCTCCCATGATGAACCAACACCCTAGATGTCGGCGACCCTGCCTTTCCTCCTCATCTAGGTCGTCACAATCTCTCCCCAAATGTCGTCGCCCATCCTCCTGCCCCTCTCCTGCCGTGATCGCTGCTGTGGGGGCTGGAGGTCTCCTCCAGGTCCGGTTACTTGAGGACGGTTGCTCTGACCGAGGAGGCGGCCCCTTGGCGATCAACTGATCCATCTCCTTCTTCATCGTAACGCACTCCGACGTGTTGTGGGTGCTGTTACGGTGGTACTCGCAATACTTGGGTGCATCCTGCACTCCATAGCTTTCCCGACTGTGAGGGGCAGGCAAAGACTGTACCGCGTGAACAGGATGTCTGTTCGCATGATACCCGGTGGGGTTCGGCCCCTTACCGTAATCCTTCCTTTTCTTCCCTTCTGCCACTGGTGGCCCGCTTTTCTTCTCCTTCCGGACTGGCGGCTCATCGTCTTCTTCTTCTAAAGCCAGGTATTTCGCCCTGGCCAACATCTCCTGATAGGTCGAGAGAGGATTCCTTCGCAGCTCTTTGCGCACATCCCCCTGGGGGAGTGCAGCTTGGAGCATGGCGATCAGGGCTTGGTCGTCCGCTCCTTGGACGTCCCTGGCCTCCTTTTCCCACCTATTAATGAATTCCCGGAGCTGCTCTCCTTTCCGAATCTTCACATTGAGCAAGTGCGAGAAGGGGAGCTTTTGTCTTCGGCTGGATGCGAAATGCTCCAAGAACTTGTGGGCTAGGTCGCTCCACTTATCTATTGATCTCTTGGGTAACTTGTGGAACCACTCACAAGCCTGCCCTTCCAGTGTCGCCAGGAAACACCGACACTTGATTTCCTCTGGGTACGCATACATGACCACGTTCGCCCCGAAGCGAGCAAGATGGTCCTGGGGGTCAGTCGTCCCATTGTACGCCTTGATCTGGGGAGTCTTGAAATTGTCTGGGAGGGGACAAGACATTATCCTTCTTGAGAAGGGTGTTACCTCGCTGAAGACCGCCTGGCGGTAGGGATTTTGGGCGTCCATCCGCTTCTCCAATTGTTCATACATTCTCCACAGCTCGGCTGCACCTTTGTCCTCGACCGTCGTTCGTCGCTCCTCAAAACCGGTCTTGGAGGTCGCTGTGGACTCCCCTCTTTTCTCCTTGAGCGTATCCCATAAGTCACCCTTTCGGGCCGACTGAGTGTCCTGCAACCGTTCGAACGCAGAGGTCCGGGGTTTCTTTGACTTGGGATCTCCCAAACGGTCAAAAGCAGACATTAGTTCGAAGGAGGACGACTCTTCGTCCAATCTGGAGAGCGCATCTTCCATCACAGCCTTCCCATTAGGCTTGGTCGCCTTCTTTTTCTGGGACCGCCTCACTTTCTTCTTTTTCCCTTGAGAGCCCGCAGGTCCAGCCTTCCCGCCTGCGGGTCCCCCAACCACATCCTCCACCACAATCTCGCGATTGGGTGTAAGTGCCGCCAGCACCTCCTTGAATTGCTCAGCTGTGATTCCGACCCTCTGGATGAGGGCCTCTGCCTCCCCCGTAGTGATGGGGGGGTGCCGACCTCCGGTGGCGCTGTTTTCTCCCTGATGGGGAGCTCCGGTACCAACGTTGGCGTTGCTGCGTGTTTGCACCATCGTCTTGGTGGAGGGTTTCCTCTGAGTATGATTCTCGAACTCTCAACAAGAGCACCAATTTGATGGACAATAAATCCACCAAATGATCCGATTCAGAAAGCGGATCGTAAGAATCTAATTAAGAACGGGAATTCGAGAATTGAGTATGTATTATTGGCTTGGTTTTGCTTGAGTTCTCCCCTTTCGGGTCTCCTCTATTTATACATGAGCCTTAGACAATTAAGGTAATGCATAATCAATGGAGTCTATCCCGTCATTGGCGCGATCCCCTTTTTCCAGCTTCGTCTCCACCATTCGGTTCCGTCTCCTCTTCCGGATTGACTCTGCCAGCTGTTCCTAGACCGGAGGTGACCGGGCCTAACTCCATGGGCTGGCCCGAGCCTGGATATCCTCCAAGCGCCTGACCCAAGTTGCTTAAATGATTCATTTGGGCCGCCCGGTGGGTATCGGCCCATCACCCGCCAAAAAAAAATCATTGTTCCTTTGGTTCCTCCAAAGAGGAATACTTTTAACATCTTGTTCTTCTGTAGGGCTGTAAATCGATAACCGAAATTATCTTCCGCATCTGTATTTATTTATATGGAAAATATCTGTATTCGTTAAAAGCAATTTCAAAAATGAGACATATTTCTGATTGTAAGGACTACTTGTCTAGCAATTTCAGTTGTGATACATGTATGTTGGCAAAGTTTCACAGACTTGCTTTTAATGAGAGTACTTCTTTCACAACTGTGCCTTTTAAACTCATACATTTGGATCTGTGGGGGCCATATAGAAAACCAAATATTACAGGGGCTAAGTTTTTCCTAACTATAGTTGATGACTACACTAGGAATACTTGGACACAACTCCTGCATGAAAAGGAGAAGGTCAAAACTGCTATATCTCACTTCCTGTCCATGATAGAAACACAGTTCAAAGCAAAGGTTGAATGCATTAGGTCAGACAATGGGACAGAATTCATCAATTCTGTTTGTTCTGATGTTTTTGGAATGAAGGGCATTATACATCAAAGGTCTATGGTTAAAACACCACAACAAAATGGTGTGGTGGAAAGGAAGCATAGACATCTTTTGGACACAGCCAGAGCTCTTAGGGCCCATGCCAACCTTCCAAAAATGTTTTGGGGTGAGTGTATCTTGGCAGCAACTCATCTCATTAACAAATTACCTGTGGAAAGGTTGAATTGGAAAACTCTATTTGAGCTTTTATATAACAAGGCACCATCCTATAAGGAACTGAGGGTTATAGGATGCCAGTGTTTTGCTACAAACTTACATGAGAAGGATAAGTTTGATAATAGAGGAATCAGGTGCATCCTCTTAGGCTATCCTTTTGGACAGAAAGGATACAGATTGTATGACTTAAAGAGCAGAAAAGTGTTCCATAGCAGAGATGTTCTTTTCCAGGAGGATGTTTTTCCTTATCAGCAAAGGGCCAAGGAAAATCCTACTTTACCTCTACCCATTATATCAGAAAAAGATTGTGACTATAACCCTGTTACTGTCACAGATCACCTCCCAAATAATCCACAAACTGGTTCTCCTTCTAGTGATCAGCAGATTTCAGGAAAGGAAAGTGATGTTCCAGTTCCAGATGTTTCCATTCATGAAAGAGCTTCCAACACTTTCAATGACAATTGTAACTCCCTGCACTCAACCCATCAAGATGAGGTTAGAAGGTCTCTCAGGACCAGAACCACACCTGCATGGCTGAAGGATTTTGTTCAACCTACACCAAGAACACAACACAATGATAATTCTTCAGGAAAGAAACCTCTTACACCCAAATGGGTATACAAGATTAAATATCTGCCAGATGGCAGTGTTGAGAGGTATAAAGCAAGGCTTGTGGTAAGAGGATACAATCAAATTCTAGGAGTAGACTACAAGGATACCTTTTCTCCAGTAGCAAAGCTTCCAACTGTGAGGATGGTTATTGCCCCTGCTACTGCCAAACATTGGCCCTTGTATCAATTGGACATTAATCTTCTTACATGGATACTTGGATGATGAAATATACATGGTACCACCACAGGGCTACCATAAAGCACAACCAAGATTGGTTTGAAAACTAAGGAAGTCCTTATATGGTCTAAAGCAAGCATCTAGGCAATGGAATCTTGAACTTTCAAAATTCTTGACTTCATTGGGGTTTGTGCGCTCCAAACATGACTACTCCCTGTTTACCAGAAGATATGGTGGGCATTTCTTGGCTTTTCTGGTCTATGTGGATGATGTTTTGCTCAGTGGGGAGTCTGAAGATCAGATTAAACAAGTCAAGGAGCAATTACATGCAAAATTCACAATCAAAGATCTTGGTCCTGCAAGATATTTTCTGAGAATGGAAATTTCAAGATCTTCAGTAGGTACTTTTCTTAATCAGAGGAAGTACATTGTTGATCTTTTGGCTGATGCTAATGTCTCTACCACAATCACAACACACTTTCCACTTCCACGCCATTTAAAGCTCTCTTATGATTCAAGAGTTCCCCTTGAAGATCCCACACAGTATAGAAACATTATTGGAAGATTTCTTTATCTAGGCTTGACTAGACTTGACATTTCATATTCTGTCCAGCATCTCTCAATTTATTCAGCATCCCACAACTGCACATATGAAGGCTCTTCACTCAGCTACTTGCAAGGGACAGTGACCATGGGACTGTTTTATTCTTCTGAATCAGACCTTTCTGTAAGAGGATTTTGTGATGCTGGTTGGGCTTCCTGCCAAATGACATCTAAGTCTTTGACTAGCTACTGTGTTTTCCTAGGCTTTGCCTTAATCTCTTGGAAAACCAAGAAACAAAAGACTGTGTCCAAATCATGTGCTGAAGCAGAATATAGAGCAATGTCTGCCACTACTTCAGAGTTGGAATGGGTAAGCTACATCTTGAAAGATCTCTCTATGCCTCCACAATTGTCTATCACCATGTTTTGTGATAATAAGGCAGCAATACATATTGCTTCTAATCCTGTATTTCATGAGAGAACCAAGCATCTTAATATTGACTGTCACTACACACGTGACAAGATTTCTGATGGGTTTCTTCAGACTGCATTTGTGCCATCCAGAATGCAGCTTGCTGATGTCTTAACCAAACCTTTGGGAGAATCACAGCATCATGACTTGATTTCAAGGTTGGGACTGTTACGCTCACTACCAGTCCACCTTGAGGGGGGGATGTAGAGATATGTGGAATTTAGTTTGGTGGTTAGAAGTGGTTAGCAGTTAGTTAAAGTCTGTTTTGGTTGTTGCTCCAAGTTTGTTATTTCTGTTAGTAGTTAGCTATGTTGTATAAATAGGCTCATTCTGTATCTGATCAAAGTGACGATGTATGCTTAATGAGACATCTCAGAATAAAGTTTCTTTCTTCCTTCTTCTTCATTGTGTTCATATCTTTAAGCTGAATCTTCAGCTTTACAGTTATTTATAGTTTTTCTTAATTTTCTATTTTTATATTTTTTTTCTCTATTGATATCTCAAAGTTGTAAGACATTTTTGTATGCAAAATATATATGTTGACACATAAAAATATGTGTAGACATATAAAATTATGTTTATATATGTATTGTGTATATCTTTTTATGATATGAAGTCATCGTATAATATCATAAATTATAAAAAAATAAGAAAATAATTATCCATAAAAAGTTATACTCCCTCCGTTCCACAAAACCCTTCCGGTTTTGACTTTGAAAAAAAAAGAAAGTGTAATTTTAGTTGACTTTCTAATTTTGCCCCCGATGTGATGGGAAAAAGTAAGATGTGATATTTTGGTTATTAATGAAAAAGTATGATGTGATAGGTAGGGTATGAAAAAGTAGGGGTAAAAGTGGTTTTTTAATAGAAAGTAGAAGTGTTTTGTGGAAAGCAAAAAAACGAAAGAGGTAGGGTTTTGTGGAACGGAGGGAGTAGTTTATTTAATAATATTTTGATTTAGTTTAATTGAAAATTAAAGTATTGTTTAATTTGGTTTTAAAAATTGGAAACGGATACGGATAGATCCGATATCCAGCCGATATCCGAAGAATGCGGATACGGTTTTGATTTTCAGTATCCGTCAAGATCCGTATTCGAATTTGATATCCGACAAAAAATAAACGGATACGGATTTGGTAATGACACATCCAATCCGATTAATATCCGTTTACCCCCTATTCTTTTGAAGTGAAAAAGATAGTTGAATTTTAAAAAAAAATCTGAAAAAAAAAGAGTTGGATATATTAAAATTGAAAAGAGGTAAAAAACTAATAAGACTTGAAAAAATTACAAAGAATTGGAAAAAATTATACTAACAGTTTGAAGAAACTAAAAAAGTTGGAAGAAAATTGGACTTGAAAAAAGGTGTTGAAATAAATATTAGATTTTTGAAGTTTCATTTTTTCATTAAAAAAAAGATCTAGACATCATTAACGTTAGACTTGAGTGATCACCTTGTTCATGTGACCCTCGCCAAGCTGTGGGGTAGTTTTCCCAGACACAGTGTGTACAATCAATGCTTTCGAGGATCTTAGAAAAATCGCAAACATTTTCATGGCTGGCATATATTTGTTGAATGTTGCTCTAGGTCAGCTTTTGTAAATATCTATGACAGTATAGATTTTTGATGCCTTTGAATAAAAGTACGTAGTGTACAAATGTTAACTATGAGATATTTCATATTCAAATAACAACGTATCATTCACATAAAAATACCTTTACAAAGATTCCAGAGAATATCTCAAGAAACTGTGTGTTGGGTTAAGGAACCCGAGGGCCTAGGAAACTAGGCGGAAGAGTATTGAACTAAGTCAAGAGTGCACAAAATATGGGGTCAAGTGAACTGAGAGTAATATTGTGCTAGTTAGAATCTGAATCAGAACGTAAGTCCCNTTTATATGCAGATTACAACTAGGGTTCCGACCGTTGGCCCATAGTCCAACGGTCTGGGCCCACTGAGATTAGGTTGTTCACTGGCGGCGTCCAACCACATCATTAACCCTAGGATTGCTATACAAAATAGGTTACAAGTAGGGTGGCTATAGCAACTTTGCCAGAGGCATGGCAGGGGTCTAATCGTGGGCCCCTTGATCTTGACTTCAGTCAGCTCCCTTGTCCAGTTCTGGTCTGCCGTCCCCTAGGGCCGAGGCCGAGCACATGACCTGTCCTCGGAAGTCTCCTGGCGGAAGGCTGGCCAGGGGTGGTCCGAGGATGACCGACCCTGTCGGGGCCGAGCGCGTACTGCTGCCGGGGTGGTCTTCCATGGTCCTTTGTTCATTCTTGCTTTGGTCCCGCCAAGTGAGCCTTAGCGAAATTGGGCTGGGCCGTCTTTCTATTGGGCTGGATACCCCCATTCCCGGGTATCCATCACTGTGTCTGACATCTTCAAATACTCATCCCTCGCATCACTTGTTGTATCACACCCGAGTTTTTGAATAGCCCTTGTGCACTTCCAGAGTGATGTGAATCACTTTGATCCTTTAGCATTTATCTTTTTTTAAAAATATTCAAAATGATCCTCCATGTCTCTGACAATAAAAGTGAATAAATTGTGACTCATCCAAAAATGATAGAGAAGGATCAGGGTCGATTGAACCTTCCATAGCTATCACCTTCCTCGTATTGCTTTAGCATTAGAACTATAAATAGGGACGAAAGCCAATGTAAAAACTACGCTTAATACAACTATGATACAGAAGGATTAATTAATAATTTATATTATTTAGTTAATTAGATATTTTAATAGTTTAGCTAGATAGTTTAATTATTTACTTTTTATTGTTGAGTGGAATTATAACACTCCTTCGAGGGTTTCTTTTCGGTTCTTTACCTCGACGCTTTTATTGAACCGACAGGCTTAGGGATTAGGTGTTTGCTAGGGTTAGGGTTTACCATCTTCATCTATATATTGAGTTGTAATCCTCTTTAGAATATCATCAATGAAGAACAATAATATTTTCACTCCTAAACCCTAATCTCTCCTCCCTTCTCCTCTCAAATCTCGTCTCCTTCCTCCCCTCCTTGACTCTCTCACTTCTTCTCCCAAATTCTTCATCTCCTCCCTTAATTTCTTAATTTCTCTTCCCTATTTTGATACGTTACCGTATCAATTGGTGCTCTCATTCTTGAACTCGCCAAAAAAAATCTATTTTTTCTGCAATCCGATCCGTCAGATTTGCGTCAAGAAATAGGGCCGCCAAACCCATTTTTTTGGTCGGTTTCCTTCACTCTTTGAACTTCAATCCTTGTAAATCTCCGGCGAGTGGCCACGTTAGGCCGAAAACTCAAGAGCAATCAACGGCCAGCGGCAGGGTTTGTCTATCAATTGATCCGTGCAGAACAGCCGTAGCCTGTCAAAAATTGTTTGCCGCCAGACTCTTGTTCCACCCCGAAGGAGTTGCTGCATTATCTGATTTGAGTTGGCCAACATACTTGCTCTGCCAACTCAAAATTAAATTGGTGTGCTTGGTGCTTTTGTGGTGGCCATCGTTTTTAACAAAAAAAAACCCCACAAACAAGTGCAGTCCCGCCGGTGCAATTTTATCAGAAACAGATAAAGTGCTCTTTTGATGAAGTAGCCGAGCTAGAATTTGAGGATCAACTGCAAGGTGTTTAGTTTGGCCCCGTTTTGATTTACATGGCAAATGACCCGCCTACCGCGACACTACAATCTACCACCGCTCCTCTAAATGGTGTTTGGTTAGCCGTTCAGGAACTTGCCCTAGAGATTCACACACTCCGCCAGGAACAAATTGCTCTGTCACGACGCGTTGATGATGCATTCTCTCTTTTGGAAACTCGGGAGACCCTAAGTGATTACAAAAGTGGGTTATTTTGTAATAGCCTTTTTAAGCCGCGGCGACCTGATCCAGATTTTCCAACATGGTTTTATAGTGTTACAGGCATTCGTCCTAATGCTTGGATATCGAACATTGAGCAACCAAAAGAAGAGCAATTGCATGAACCCGTTAAGGAAATCATTTCAGTTGTGACAGTTGAGAAAGATATTATTGCTCCTACAATTGTTTCCGATGAGGTTCCTGTTATCGTTTTTGATGATTGTGCTACAGATTTTGCGGGAAACATAAGCTTGGAAAACTCGTTTGTGTTGCCTAATTTTCTCTACCAAAGGCTTTTCCATTGACTAACATGTTTGAAGGAGTTAGGGATCATGTTTTACTTGAGGGTGGTAGGGGGCTGCATTTTGTTTCTTTCGAGGCACCTTCCCTCACCACATTGCTTGGAGTTCTTTGTTTGCCTGGACAAAATTCGGAGGCTTGGTCCGAAGGTGGCCAATTTATTTTGTTCGCTATTGCATCAACTGTTTTGAAGCTTGAATGGGATCCTCCACCAACCATGGCATGCACAGGGTCATTGCACACTGTTTGTTTTCCTACTTACACCTTGAGGACAAGGTGTGTTTCTATCGGGGCGGCAGTGATACAGAAGGATTAATTAATAATTTATATTATTTAGTTAATTAGATATTTTAATAGTTTAGCTAGATAGTTTAATTATTTACTTTTTATTGTTGAGTGGAATTATAACACTCCTTCGAGGGTTTCTTTTCGGTTCTTTACCTCAACGCTTTTATTGAACCGACAGGCTTAGGGATTAGGTGTTTGCTAGGGTTAGAGTTTACCATCTTCATCTATATATTGAGTTGTAATCCCCTTTAGAATATCATCAATGAAGAACAATAATATTTTCACTCCTAAACCCTAATCTCTCCTCCCTTCTCCTCTCAAATCTCGTCTCCTTCCTCCCCTCCTTGACTCTCTCACTTCTTCTCCCAAATTCTTCATCTCCTCCCTTAATTTCTCAATTTCTCTTCCCTATTTTGATACGTTACCGTATCAAACTACAATACTCTAGCTCCATTATTGTTTTCTCAAAGTGTTTTCAATTCATTCTCTACTTGTTTATTTCATAATCTGATTCACAATTCTAGGTCAGACTCACTCTTTGATGGAGTTTATTTCCATCAACAAGTACATAAAAGTGGCAAAAATTAAAGTAAAAATCAAGGAATATTTAAATAGAGAAATGGACCTCTTACAATTTTTTTTCTCCGAGTTTTCATCTTTTGAAAGCCTTCAACTATATCTTCATTTTTAGTATTTAAAAATGCTTCCTTTTCCGCAACATAAATCACACAAGTTTTGAAACTCATCTCCAATTCAATTCCGCAAATCTGACTTCACATGTTTGATTTCATTGCAGAAAAATATCTCTCAATGGTTGTCATAGTGATTGCAAAACCAGTGCAAGCTTTAATAAGTGATAGATCAAAAAAATGTAAGATTTTACCTTGTACTTACCATCACTTTAGTGAGCTCAAGAAAACCACTCAACCTGTCAACTCTTTCATCCATTTGCATATTGTAAATATAAAGACTAAGCTCATGCGGTCATGCTCAAGACTGGTTTTTTCACCATTACTAAAATTATTTGAATACATTTGAACTAATCTCAATATCTTCTATTCGTCAAAATCACAAATCGAGTCACGTGGACCCAATCTCTTATTTGTAATTAAAATTTAATTTATCTTCTCTTACGGGCCTATTCTGAAAGGATTATAGTGGAGATGAGGCTCCTTTTTTTCAACCATGCTAAAAGTACATCAAAAGTATACTTTAAGTTGTATCCCAAAGATATGCACTCATATTTTAACGATTCACACTGGCAGAAAATGTTAGTTCAATAAAAAAATTTGTACTTAAATTTTTATCTATGTAAATCAGCATAATAATATCACACTAGCACAAAATGTCAGTCATGCTTTTGAAGTACAAAATGGGTTAAGTACAAAATGGGTTATAAATTTTAGTTAGGAATTTTAGGGTACAAATAACTTAATCTTTTTTTTACCGGAGTGATAAACTTTCATTTGTCATATGGCAGTTGTGGCTCCCTTTTGGCCTTTTCCTTCCGAACTCGGATCTGGTTTCCCTACTACTTTGTGATATCGGCCGATTTCCTCTCTCAACTGTCCGTCCCACCACGCCTTTCTCATCACAACGCCCAGTAGCAAAATCCACGCCTTACGCCTTTCTTCCTCATATTCATCTCTTTTGTGAAAGCAGGGTCAAGCATTCTTTCCAGTTTCCACACACCCGGAGCCCATTTTTCCCCGTTCTTACATATTTACATCTGACCACTATATATGCTCCTGCCCGGCATGAAGGTAGTAGGCTATTAAATGTTCATTTGGTTCTGATTCTGGTTTTGATTGATTCTTATATTCCATTCTCAGAATTCGTTGGTTTAGATTCTTTTCATTACTGGTCCAGAGAACAAACAAACTAATTTTGAGAATGGGAATCGAGTGAATCTACCCTAAATAAAAACATAAACCAATTAAAATGAGCCCCAAACAATGTTCCAAGAAATTCTTTTGCATTTCCACGGCGGCCGTTCTTTCCTTCGCCGTCCTTATCTCCCTCATCCTCCTTTTCGCCCTTAGACCCACCTCCCATCACCACCAGGCGTCGGAATCTGGCATCGTCCCCTCCGGTTTGCCTCCCTCCGTCCGTAATGCTTGCAAGTTCTCCAATGACACAGCAGCTTGCGAATACGCAATCGCTAGCTCCGGGCGGTTGCCCAAGGACCCGACGGCGCTGCAGATCATCGAGGCCGTCGTCGCCGTATCTTCCAAAAACCTCACGACGGCCAAATCCATGGTGGATGATATCTTGAAGGAGTCCGTCGGCAACCTGAACCGGTCGGTCACGGCCAAAACGTGTCTCGAAACGTTCGGATACGCGGAAAATCGGATGAGATCTGTGGAGAAAGCTCTCCGGGGCGGCGAGATCAAGGACGCCCGGGCGTGGATGAGCGCCGTCGTCGGGTACGAATACGGCTGCTGGTCGTCGCTCAAGCGCGTGAACGACACCGAGAAGGTGAACAGCGCGATGGCGTTCATGTGGTCGCTCCTCGGACTGACCAGCGACGCGCTGGGCATGTTGGTGAACTACGACCGCATCGGGAATGAAACCGGGTCGTGGCGGCTGCCGGAAACAGAGCGTGACGGCTTCTGGGAGAAGGACGGCAGATCCGGATCCGGGTCGGTGACCGGCGGAGGAGTTCCATCGGGGTTGACCCCGAACGTGACGGTGTGCCCGCTCCAAAAGAGCGGCTGCCACTACCAGAAAGTTCAGGACGCCGTGAACGCCGCGCCGGATTTCATCTCGGCGGGGAAGTTTGTGATTCAGATAAAGGCCGGAGTTTACGAGGAGATCGTTCGGGTGCCGTTTAATAAAACGAATGTGGTGTTTTTAGGGGAGGGCATGGGCAAAACTGTCATTACAGGAAACTTGAGTGTGGGTCTCCCTCCTTTCAACACCACCTACCACTCCGCCACCGTTGGTAAGTCATTTATTAATCTATTACTTTGATTCGTATGGATAATGGTTTCCTTTTTTGCAATTACTTTTGGCTTATTTTAGAATTTTAAGTTTGGCTAAAGTTTTTGAATAGACCCTATGCTCTTATTTATAGAGAAATACTTGGTTCCCAAAAAAATGGTAACAAATTTCGTGACAGTTTTGTTTGCAAACCCTGTTTTGATTAATATCAAAGTTTTATACTCCGTAACCGAATGAAAATTTAATTTGATGTGTGATTCAGCTGTGGTAGGGGACGGATTCATGGCCAGGGATCTGACCATCCGAAACACCGCACCCGCCGGAGCTCACCAAGCCGTTGCCTTCCGATCAGACAGCGATCATTCCATAGTAGAAAGCTGCGAGTTCCTGGGCAACCAAGACACTCTCTGCGCCAACTCTCTCCGCCACTACTACAAGTCCTGCCGCATCCAAGGCAACGTCGACTTCATCTTCGGGAGCGCCGCGGCGGTCTTCCACGGCTGCCGGATCTTCGTGTCCCCCCGGCAGGAAGATCCGGCGAAGCCGGCGGACAACGCCGTGACGGCACACGGCAGGATTTACCCCGGCCAGTCCACCGGCTTCGTCTTCCAGAACTGCGCGGTCAACGGGACGGATGAGTACATGGAGTTGTTCCGGAAGAGTCCGGATTCGTTCAACGCGACGTATCTGGGGAGGCCGTGGAAGGAGTACTCGAGGACGGTGTTCATAGAGTGTGCGCTGGAGGGTCTTGTTTCTCCGGCGGGGTGGATGCCGTGGGATGGGGACTTTGCGTTGGAGACGCTTTACTACGGGGAGTTCAATAATACCGGCGCCGGAGCTGGCGCGGCGGAACGGGTGAAGTGGAGTAGCCGGATTCCGGCGGAGCGTGTCCACTCCTACTCTCTTGACAACTTCATTCAAGGTCATCTATGGATCCCATCATCTCAATGATTTAATTTGTAAAGAAAGCTTAGAGGCTTTTTTGGGTGGTTTGTGTACTATGTATTGATGATATGATTATTATCAATGGCATTTCATCATTTGGGGTTAATCAATTATATTTTGCACGGTAACTTGGCAAAACTGCCATTCTGGCAGATCTGTTTAAAGCCTAAGAAAGTAAAGAAACCACCAAAAGAGGTAAATTTATTCCAGTGTGTACCGTAGAGGCACATTAAAGGTAGTAATAAATTTGGCACTCCAAAACCACAATAGCAGACAAAATTTTCAATATATTCGTGATTCGACAAGCAACTTTTTTTTCAATTATTGGAGTCTGAATGGTTCTTCTCCTCTTTGGGGGTGCAAACTGCCTGCTGAGCCGGGACTTTGTCCAGGGATCCATGGCTGGTCTTTGTGGTGGCTGTGGTGTGGCTGGTTTTGATTGTCTAAGTTCATTTTCCCTGTCAATGAACCTGCCAATGGAAATTTGTCAAACAAAAACAAACATACAAGGCCCTGTTTGGGATGGTTGCCAATTTTGTCTTCAAAAACCAAGAACCGGGATGAAAAAAAGGTTGTTACCAACTAAGCAGTGAGCACAAATTAACTAAATAAGAGAGAGAGAGAGAGAGAGAGGGGTTCAAAAATCTCACTCAATATATGCCATAGGAGCAGCATCACCAACTCGAATTCGTGTTCTTAGCATTCTAGTATATCCACCAGCTCTATCTCTGCAAGTCAAAACCATTGAGATGTTACCAACACGGTAAAACCGCAATGAAAATAAAGTAGAATAAAATGAGCATTGACTACAGTGGAGAATCTCGTATTCACTTGTTCACTTGTATCTATACGCCAGTTCTGTAAATAGCTTGTGAAGAACATCATCACCACGCACAAAGCCAGCAGCACGCCTCGCAGCACGCCTCGCAGCACATAGAGTTCCCTGAAAAGGTTCATGAAGGTTTTGGATTCATAAATACACAAAAAAGAACCTACACATTGTGGTGCATTCAGTTGGAGGCACTAAAGGGTTAGAGAACTACCAGACCAATAATCCCCCCTACAGGCTACAGTGTGGTTGGTGAGAGGTAGGGTATGCCGTTAAGGTAGGCAGTGGACTCTACCTATCATTGCGTTGTTTGGGTTCCAAAAAAAAAAAAAGAAAGAGGTAGAACGAGTAAAGGAAGGAATCCACACCATGGTAAGGATTCTGCCAAAATGGAGAACGAGAAAACCAAGCCGTGTCACGCTTCATCGCAAATCTCAAGATTCATCGTCCTCAAAATGCCCCTTCTTTGTTCCAACTCAATCTGCGCCTCTCAATCTCTGCAATTGCCACCTCCCAGAGAAGAAAACAAAGAGGATGGCTGAAGACAACAATGACGGGGGCGGAAGAAGAAAACACAGAACTGCAGAATAGGATAGCTGCGACCGAAGACGGAATAAGGTTGTGATGAAGACAAAACGAAAGTAGTTTTTTTGTAAGTATTTTTATTTTCTTAATTTTAGGTCATTATGGTAAAACTGTGCTATTACCTACATTCTTGTAGTTTATTCAAACAACATTTTGGAATTACCTACCTCAAACATTAGCTATTGTTTGATACCTTCATTTACCTACCTAATAAAACTACCTCCACCTTCTTGCAAAGAAAGCCTTAATTTCATCTTAAGCTCGACCTTTGTGACCTATTAAAATCCAGATAGTTCGAGGGAATGACACAATATAAGCCTCATTAAAGAAAATGCTAAAGCCAAGAATACTAGGATTCATGGTATCAGAAAATGATGTCCATATAAAAGGAAAAAGACAAAAAATAGTGAATGTTTTTTACTTTATACTCGTATGTGGGAACATGCCCATTTTTTTTATGTTTTACTTTTCGATAAATGAGGGATGTAGCTTAGTAAAAAATGTAGTTTTTTTTCTTCTTTTTTTTTCCAGTGCCTATCACCTTTCTTTCAGTCTTTTTTGCGCTACACTCTTCTAACTCAACCCCAACTTGACTGCAGCAAAAACAACTTTATTTTGTCTTCAAATTGCAGAAGCTGTGGTAACAAACTTCCTTTTGATGTTTAATTTCAGTTTTGCTTAAATTATTTGTGAAACAATTTAGGGTTGTAATAGGTTAAAGTTAGTGTGTTTTCTAATTTATCCCATGAAATTTTAGCATTTAATATATCTTTGTGTATGTTTGTGTTTTTGTACTCATACCCCAACTTTTCCAAAACTGCATACCCATTTATGCGGTACCACACAACATAGCATGTAACAGACTACCATCCCATGTAGTATAGCAAACATTTCTACTAGAAACACTATAAATTGTTACTTTATGATGATATCTGAAACGATCCAGTGACGACATCATACATACTGAAATTGATCTAGAGGGCATTGTTTTACTTTGTAGCTAGAAACTTAAGCAGACAGGATGTAGAGAACTTGGTGGGATTTTGCCTGTTTAAAAGAAGAACAGGCAATCAGAATTTTTTTCTTTGAACAATAATGACTGAACTGCTTTTTTTTTCTTTTGCAATAAGTAGTAGATGAGGACATAAAGAAGAATGAAGAAACACCATGTATCAAAATATGGATTTTTTTCCCATAACTAGAAGTAGAAGATGGTTTTATCCAAAAACAAAAATTAGAAGATGGCTTTCATGGAATAATGGAGACCCTCTGGGGTCTTTTTGGTACCCGAAAAATGAATGCAAAAATAAAGAAAAGAGAGGAGAGATTACAAAGAAAAGACAATCTGGGGATAGATATTAAATGAATTGGCTCAAACTCAATACATAAATTTTAGATATTTTTTGGAAGGTAATGTATTTATATACTCATATCTGTACTATATAAGATTTAAAACATAGTCATAGAAATCGCTCCCTAAGCCGCGACTTCTGTATTGGTACGCGGCATACCCAATCGCAATTTGATTGCGATCCGATCGTAGCCGGTACCGCGAACTCTTTGACGCGGTACAGCATACCAGATCGAGCTGGTACGGCATACCAAATGCCAACTGAAATCGTCCCCAGCCCCTTGGTACGGCGCACCATGTCGGAAACAATGGCGTATACATCACCCGCGGTACGGCTAACCAGTCCAATTTGCGATTTTCCCTCTTCCAATTGGAGAGTTTCTTTTTCCCGGAATTGCATAAATTTAGTAGTTCCCACTTCCCAGGCACGTATTGAGTATTCCATTTTCCAATGTCTTATTCATAAAACTCATTTAATATTTATTTCAAAATTCAATTTACAATTAAATATTATACTAATATATATATATACACACACACACACACACACACACACACTAGTAGATTAGAATATTTAAGTTGATGTTTTGTTTTTCTATTGGATTTTGTAATGTTATGCACTTATGCTCGTCTTATCTACTTTTGTTTACTTATGTTTTGACTTTTGGTACACCGAACCGAATACATGGTAAACCGTACCGCTTCGTACCGAAATGAACTTACCCCTAGACCTGGCAAAAAGTGACCCGACCTGTTTTTGACCCGAAACCCAACCTGAAAACACTGGGTTTTGAACAAAGGTTTTGATGACCGAACCCGAAGTTGACCGAACCCGAAATGACCTGCTAAAAATGGGTCAAACCCGACCGAACCCGAACCCGACCTGACCGACCGCTAAAGTAAGAATTTTTCAAAATTATACACTTTTTTTACTTGTTTTTAGTGTATAAATTTATATTTTCAGATAAAATTTTAATGATATTGCATAATTATCTTACTTTTTTCCAAAACTTAAACATTTTTAAATTCCTTATATTGATGTATATATCTAAAAACTACTTTAGAGTTTAAAATAATATAATTTTATGGATTTAGTACTTTTTTTTGATATTTTAAATTTTTTTAATAGAAAATGTAAGTGTTAATGTGAATTTAAAAATTTAAAAAACCAAAGTCATAACCCGTTGGGTCGACCCGAACCCGATGACACTGGGTCATGAACATACATTTCTCAACCCGAACCCGAATTAACCCGAACTCGAAATAACCCGAACTTGAAGTGACCGAACCCGAACCCGACCTAACTGACCGATTTGCCAGCTCTACTTACCCCCCTTCATACCAAATTCGTCACCTCTAGCGAATTTTGAACCCGTACCGAAACATACCGCGATTTAGGTGACTATGATTAAAAAATATAACCATATGGAAAACATATAAAATTCTAATCAAAATAGATTTGTCATTGTATTTACAAATGTAGAACCAAACATTAAAAATTCATTCTCATCATATTTTTTTCGTTCTCTACGATTTTTTGGGGGTTCCAACGAAGCCCAAAAAGAAAATGAATTAGGGAAATAAAGTAGTGCATTTCCTCACCCTAATATACAACCCCCTATATTTCAAGACATCTCACATTCCAATCCAACGAGATTAAGCATTATAACAACTAATCTAGAGTGAGGGGAATACCTAAGGCCCCAAATATTGCACTCACAACCACATGTAAACTCATTATATATATCAAATGACCTAATATACTACTCCCTATGAATAAATCTCCTAATCATGATGTATAATTCAATACCTCTTTTCCAAGCTGCACCATATTATCAGCAAGCCTACGAAGTTCCTTTGCCTACAATAACGCATCAAAAAAAATATTATTGTTACAAAGCTTGATAAGGTGCACCTGTCAACCTATTCAGACACCCCCCCCCCCCAAATATATAAATAAAAACTCATACTTTGCTGGTTTACTTTGATTGTGCTTGAACTGGGAGTCTCTTGGAAACAGCCTCTACTTTCGAGTAGGGGTAAGGCCTTCAAAGACCTTAATGTGTGTGAGATTTTACTGGGTTTGATGTTGTTGTTGTTGTTGTTTTAAATAAATACTCCTTTTCCCCAAAACAATGTTCTCGCTTTTCTTTTTGGACATCCAAAAAAGATCTTCCCGTTTCCATTTTTTAGCATACACTTTTATTTCTTTTTAATAAATACACATTTTACCCTCAAAAACCCACATATTTACTACCTCTCACTTCCCTTTTAGCAAGCCAAAAAAGAAAACATAGGTAAGAGAATATACAAAATTTTCCTTTCACTCATAATCTTTGTGACATTTTCAGTAAAGAATATCAGTTTAGGAGGGATGGAGTAAATAAATTGTCCATAACATTTCTAACCTAACAATTACGGCACAAATCATAATGAACTTAGCTAATTTTTTAATAGAAATCATTTTTATTTTATTTTTTTTACTGAGAGAAACTTCATATCCAATCACAGGTCCTGCAATATAAAAATGATATGGAAAAATTAAAGGATTGAGTGACATGAGAATTACTTTAGCAACAGTTGTCTCTATGCGCTCATGCTTGACCAACTGCGACACCATCGTCCTGAAAGAAGATCAAGCCAGCTTATTACTGATAGATTACCCGAGTGAAAAGGCACAAAAAGGAACCAATTAGTACGAACGAAGAAATACAGTTTAAGAAATAACCTGAGCATGGATACCCGGTGAGCCACTGGGCGATTCAGCTTCCTAAACTTCGTCATTTTCGGCCACCAGAAACCCTACCAGAAGAGAAGGTTTAGAGGTTTGAGCATTGTTAAAGTGAACTGAAATTTTAGTAGTGAGACAGGGAGTAAAGAAAATGTTAGGGCCTAGTCAGGCATGCAGCCCCGTAAGCGTCTTGAAAAAGTTATCTACGGGCAGCGTTTAGCGTTAGCGTTTTCAAAGTAATCTGCACCGTTAAAATTTTGTTTAAAAGGCTACGCTATTTTCAAACAGGCCCTTAATCTATCTCTAATATCACACTTTTATTTCAACTAACAGACTTTAATAATTAAATTCTTAGAGAAATATAAAAAGTAAATATTATTCGTATACTCCCTTCACCCCAAAATCAAAAGTAACCATGTACTCTTTTGTTTATTTTTTTTCTTACCTATTGTTTGAAATTCTTTACGATAAAATAAATCTATCATGTTTGAAATAAAACATAGAGAAAGTATCATATGTTGGTATTATATATTGACATTATTGACACTGTAATTCATATTTTTTGAAAAAAGACATGGAACTCCTATTTTGATCTTTTCGTCGTTTTTTATTCTTAATTTAGTCGATTTCCCTAGTGATAACATATAATTTTACTTTAGATGGCATATAAATATTGGCTTAGAATTTAAGAGTAAGATGTTTTCAAAGTTCAATGTAAGACTATACTTTTTTTTATACTTATTTTGTACTTTAACTCAAACACTTAATTATGAATATATATTATGCTCGATTTATATTTAGTTCTACATTTGCAGAGTAATTTTTATTCAAACATTTAGTTTATAAAGATGGCTAAACTCCACCATTCATCCTTCAACTTTATCAATTGTGCACGATTGGTCCTTCAAATTTTAAAATTCCGTAAATAGTTCTTCAACTTTATGAGTTATGCACGATTGGTCCTTCAAGTTTTAAAAGTGCATAAATAGTCCTTCAAGTACACGTCAGCCCTCCCGTTGAGGTCCTTTTGATAGTAAATGTTAAAAGCTAAATGAAATAATAGCTCCATATAATACGGAGTAGTCGTACCTAGTGGAATTTACTCGTATTATATGAAACTAGTATTTCGTTTAACTTTTAATATTTACTGTCAAAAGGACTTCATATGGAGGGCTGACGTGTACCTGAAAGACCACTTATGCACTTTTGAAACTTAAAGGACCAATGGTGCAGAACTCATAAAGTTGAAGGACTATTTATGGACTTTTGAAACTTGAAGGACCAATCGTGCACAACTGATAAATTTGAAGGACCAATGGTGGATTTTAGCCTTATAAAGATTTTATGCTTCACATTTTGGAACGGATTATTTATCACGCATCGCACGGATACACGTTAAAAATTTTAAAAAAAAATGAATGAAAAAATGCAAGCTGTAGCTTGAATGCAAACTTGCCCATGTCTTATAAATAGAGTGAAATGAGCCAAATGAGATGTAAATTTAGCACCATCATTTACAGAGTTCATAATTTGATGACTTGTTTTTTCATTTAGTCAGTGTGAGTATATTGGGTTATGTCATTCATGGGTGAAGAGATTTAGCTAGCTTGACTTCCATAAATATTACATACAGTACTCCATATAAGATACTAAATCAATAGTCTTTTGAAAAACTCTACAATGGATTCATACATCATATAAACATGGAGAAAATCTAGGTCCTAAATCCTAACGGGCAATCCATAGTTGTGGAACGTCCTGATCTTCCCATCCCAACCAGCGGTTACAATAACAAGGCCCCATGCCGGAGAAGACAATCTGCTGTTCTTCTTCTTCTTCTTCACCTGTGGCGGCAATGGATGAGGAAGTACTTCCTCAGGCCATGTGACCGAACAACCCCTGGACGAGGTATCCATGGAGAACCAATTTCCCAACGAAAACCCATCTGAATCCCAAACAATCCTAGGATGAGTCGTTTCTGTTGTCGCGCTGTGGCCCACGCCCAACCAAGGTATCGCAATGGAAGCACTCTCTGACGCGAAATGCTCAAACGAACGCCCCTTGTGGTGGTGGTGGTCCCAAAGATAAACCCGAGAGTCCTCCCCCACTGAAATTACATGTCTTCCAGTTGGGGTACACGCTGCCCACACCTGACTTCCTGATTTTGCAAGACCTGTTTTTCACTTCAGCATTAGTGGGCAGTTGCAGTGCAGAAACAAATACTTCTTTCATTCAAAAAACCAAATTTTCTAGTTACATATCCTTGTTGGTCTCTACTCCTTTCGTCCCAGTGTGTTTCTTTAGTTTCACTTTTCGAGTCAAATTTGATAAACTTTGAGTTTCAATTGAACAAAAGTTGTAACGTTTAAACCTATAAAAACAGTTTTATTTGATTTTATATTGTTAAGAATGCGGATCAGACGGACGTAGTACATATATATACCTCTGTATTTACAGACAATCTCACGTCCATCAAGAATGCGGATCTTAGAGTCTCCAGATGTGATCATAACCTTCTGAGGATCGTTCGGTATAAACTGCAATATAATAGAACGTTGGTATGGTGTTATGAGTATAGTGTATTAATTAAAAGGTTATGAAATGAGATCTTGCTGTGTTCAAAAATTGCAGATTGCAATGGAATAAAACCTGAATGCCAGTAATTATGTTCTTGTTTGATCTCCTTTTACCACCAAGCTGCACCTCACCATCTAAGCAAAGCTCATTTCCTGGATTCAATGAATGAAATTACTTCAAAAAAACAAAATTTTGCAGTACATTATTATTATTATTATTTTATTCTTTGATAAAAAAATTCAGAGAACGTTACCATGGTACGAAAAACGCATACCTGTTTCATAGAAGCGGCAAACCCCAGATATGGAACCGGATATGAAACCCTGTACCATTAAGAAGGAAACGATAGATATTTAAGCTGTTGATTTTCCTTTTTCCACTAAGCACAAACAAACTGAAGTGAATTGGCCACATACACATACCTTGCCGTTTGGCTGGTAACATATAGCAGTCACTATATCATGTACATCAGCCCAATCAGCAACTCGCTTTTCTGTCACATGCCAAACACGGACTTTCCCATCGATGCATCCACTTATGAACAGGTTTTCATCAGCAGGATTGAACTGGACGCACGTTACTGGATATCAACATAAAAAGAATTCGAATCGCGTCAATATAATGCCATTCAATGTATGAACTGTACATTTTGCAATTCCTTGATTGCTTAAGGGAATAAAAACAAAACATATATGATTAACGAAGGAATGAACTCTGATCCACACCATAGTTATTGTGATGGAAGACACCGAGACATTCATCAGACCCCACTTTCCATAAGCGAACAGTGTTATCTTTAGATGAAGACAAAAGACACTGCAGTCAAACATAGCACAATGTTTAACCTCAAAGGGCATCAAAAGTATGGTATTATTACTATTATTATTCACAAAATGTATGGGTTTGGTAGAGTAAATTAAGCAACAAGGGTCATCTGGCAGTAATTTCCAAAAGAGAAAACGTAAAATCGATTTCAGCCAAATGATATGCCCAAAGTCTACTGAAAAGCAGAAACAATCAACTAATGCTACCACATAGTGAGTTGTTTATAGAATTCACTCACATTGGTTGTGGAGGACCATGAGAGGTCTAAAACACTGGAAGTATGACCGTGAAACTCATGCACTGGCGATTCTTTGATCTGGAAAACCTTCTCAGGTATCTCAACAGAAGAATGAGAGAATTTCTTACTTCTTTCGAGCTCAGACCCGAAAAAATTTGAAGCAAGAACTAATTCGACACTCCAAACACGGACAACCCCATCTTCACCTCCACTCGCCAAGTACTGTCCATCGTGACTAAACTTCATGGTCCGAATCATGCCCGTATGACCCGTAATCTCTTGTCCTGCATACAGTGCAGTAAGCTCCGAAAACCCTTTCTGGATTGCATGCACCTCTAGCGCAGTCCCCTTCCCAGCTTTGCGAGATGGGCTTGACCTTTTCGGAACATCAGAATGGCTGGTTCTCATCTTAGGTAAGATGGGTTTCCACCATTTCCCCTTCTTTGCTTTCACAGCCCTCGAAACATTTCCAGAAAGATCATCAACCAAACAATTAGAATCATCAGTTCTGCAATCTCTTTCGCCACCACACATCACACCTTCATCTCCTCTGACAATGGACAAAGAGGATGAAGATGGAGAAGAAGAGGAGCTACACACAGCTTCACTACAGTCACGAATCCTTTCATCGAATGCCTCAGCCTCAGAGTCACTTGTTAGCTTAAATTCTGAACTCTTCCCCATCCCGCGCAAGAACTTCTGTCGTCTTTCATTCACACTATGCAACCCATTCAACCAAACATCATACCCAGACTCACCTCTCTCTAAAGCAGGTTCTTCCAATGACAAACACTCAAAAGAATCGAAGAAAACCTCGTCTGCCTCTTCGAAATCCTGCATTTCTTGAGCAGGTTTCAACAACAACAAATACCCACCCAAAGAAGATTCATGATAATCAAAGAAACGGATATATGTATACAGACAGCATAACAACTCCAATTTAAAAGGATGTAATATATTTACTGTATATGTTATTCCACTCAAGAGACAATGTCCAACTACAGCATTGACTTGTCTACACACCAGAAATTCATAAAATAATGTGATGAATGAACCAAAAAGAAACACGAGGCCTTATTTTATTTCTTACCTCGACTTCATTGCACATAGCCGGCAAAACAGACAGCATCCACCGACCCTCCTTAAGTTTGGGGAGGAGTCCTAAATTTATATACCCACCATAGAAGATTAAAGAAACCCAACCCAGTAACCGGGGCTATTTTTTGAGAGGTAAAAGAGAAAAAAAAGTGGCGGAGGAAGAAAAAGGTGAAAACTTTTCAGGATTCTTGCAACTAAAAGCAGAAGCAGAAACTGATGAGTCAAGAAAAAGGGGGTTTTGGGCAGTGCACGAGCGGTGCTATGCAGAAATTGGTCTGTAAATATACTTAGAAGACATTAAATAACGACAGAAGGGCCTGAAAAGGCCTATGGCTTCCGTAGGCTGTCCCCTCCGTTTATTTATAAATAATCTTCCAGAGTCAATTCCCAATAACTGTACTACTCCGTAATACACTTCTAATCACAAGTCAAATTCAAATCACGCGCTTTTGAAGCCCCTTTTGTTAAATTCAATCGGGACCCGTTCAAGAAAAACAGCCCAGCATTCAACAGAAATGAAAAGAACAGATACCCAATGCGCGGGATGGAAAGATGTGGGGGAAGAAAGTTTGGAATTTTGTGCTATTGCTGTGATTGATTAAGAAAATGAGAAGACCGAATAGATGGAGTGAATGATTATGTAAAAAAAGTAGAAAAAAAAGAGTGAAGTGAATGATTATGTAGAGGTTAATGATGGGAGGGCTTAAAGCCCAAAAAGGGAAAGTCTGCACGTACACATAGAAACAAGAAACAGGCTGTGAAACGGGGGAATTGGAAGAAACTGTGTATAGTAGGGCTCAAGACTGTAGAGTTGTAGCTTAGCAGCTTATGGCAACATCATAGCTGTTATTGTTATTGTTGTCTCTGTGTGCAGTATTTAGAGAGTGGAAAGCGATTGCTCAGATTTACCCCTTTTACAAACCCACGCATGTCTCCTTCCAAGCTATACGCTATGCCTACCACCTAAGGCCATGTGTTATGGCGACTTGATAGGGGTTTGACGGGACTGGATGAAGTATAAAAAATGTATGTTATGATGAATATGATGAAATGTGATAAGGCGTGAATATGTTTTAAATTTTGATTGATCTAAAAAAACAAAAGGGAGAATTGCCGGGATGACTATCAAGCCAAAGGGGCAACATCCCTTTCACACCGAGGGTGACATGGGAAGGAGAGGCGTGAGAGCCTGTCACGCTGGGGTGACACCCCATTACAAACTGCCTAAGTTTTTAGAAAATTGTTCTAGGATACCTTCAATTTTCTAGTAATGACTCCAAATTCCCACATTATCTCCTTTTATGTAAAATCAAATATTCTCCTTGGGTCATCTCACACACACCCCACCACCACCATAGTCTTAAAGTGATGAGAGAGGAAGGTGTGTGTGTTGAGTGGGTTGGAACAAGATGATGTGTAGAATGAGGATGATGGGATAAGAATAATTGTTGGGATTGATTGGGGAAGCCTAGAGATTGATAGGGATGAATGTAGGTTTGGGGTGGAATTCTTGTTCTAGAGGAAATAGTTTATCTGTTTGAATGTAGGTTTGGGGTGGAATCCAAGAGTAGTGATTCTTCTCGATTACAAATCTCTTCTGTGGATATCTTTTATGTACTGAATTTGTTTGTTTGGTTGATTTTCAAAGAAAATCATCTCAATTATATTTTCTCTTATTTTTCAAGAAGGGGCATATTTTATTAAATTTCTATTGTTTATATTTAAAAATTGAGTGTTCTTGATTAACCTAAGAGATGAGCTTTCATATTTTTGGATATTACAGAGTAAAATTTTTGTTATTTAGTGATGGCAAAAGTGATATTGAGATCTCGTTTCTCTCTATAGATGGCGAGGAAGCAAGGACGACCAAAGAAATCAAACGAAGCACGATCAATAACGAATTCACCGCAATTAGAGGACAGCAAATCTGTTGCAGAGGGTAGCACTTCAATCGCAAACTTGGAAAGATAGAAATTGACCCCAAAAACTCCATGCGAGGTAAAGGATTCAACCCCTAGATCCACAGGAAATTGGGGAATATAGCGTCCGAATAGGGAATCTGGATAAAGGGGGTTGAAAAACAAGCTTGATCAGAAGAAGAAATGTGATAAGGCGTGAATATGTTTTAAATTTTGAGTGATCTAAAAAAACAGAAGGGGGAATTGCCAGGATGACTATCAAGCCAAAGGGGCAACATCCCTTTCACACAGAGGGTGACATGGGAAGGAGAGGCGTGAGAGCCTGTCACGCTGGGGTGACACCCCATTACAAACTGCCTAAGTTTCTAGAAAATTGTTCTAGGATACTCTCAATTTTCTAGTAATGACTCCGAATTCCCACATTATCTCCTTTTATGTAAAATCAAATATGCTCCTTGGGTCATCTCACACACACCCCACCACCACCATAGTCTTAAAGTGATGAGAGGGGAAGGTGTGTGTGTTGAGTGGGTTTGGAACAAGATGATGTGTAGAATGAGGATGATGGGATGAGAATAGTTGTTGGGATTGATTGGGGAAGCCTAGAGATTGATAGGGGATGAATGTAGGTTTGGGGTGGAATTCTTGTTCTAGAGGAAATAGTTTATCTGTTTGAATTTCGGGTTGTTTTCCAAACGGAGTCTGATTTCGAAACTGATCGCGTTTTTGGATTCGGAAAAATAAATTGAATCTAATGACGTGTTTAAAATATTTTCCCTAATATTTTTATTTTTCAGGCCTTCGGAGCCCACATGTTCCAATTTCGGTATTTTTATTAATTACTCCCTCCGTCCCTGAATTGATTACAAATTGGGGTTTACGAGGAGAAATATCTACGTTTTGAAATAATTTTATTTACAAATCGGTACATCGATAAGAAACAAAAATTGCATATTAAAAGACAACGTCAAAAGTTCTACAAAATAAGAGGTGGCAAAAATATTTCATTTTATCGAATACTTAATAAAATCGCGTAAACAAACAAAAGTTAGGGACTGTTTGTTTCAGCCTTTTAATGGTTCAGGTGTCTGAATGGTTCATCACTTAATGGTTCAGACTGTTTGTTTCAGCCTCTTAATGATTCAGATGTCTGAATGGTTCAGACATTTGCCTCTGAATGATTAAGTATTATACAGAATCTGAATGGTTAAGACCTCTTATCTGAATTGATCAGACATTTGCCTCTGAATAGTTAAGCAATATACTAGCTCTTAATGGTTCAGACCTCTTACTGGTTCAGCACTTAATGGTTCAGACCTCTTACTGGTTCAACACTTACATATTCAAAAGTTTCCAAACAGCCCCTTATTCAGAGAAGAGAAAAAAATTGTAATCAAATTGGGGACGGATGGAGTAATTCTTTTAGACCGGTTTTCATGGCATTACATGTTGGCCCATTACTTCATTAAGTCTTCAGGTCCGACCCATTCTTGTAATCCGAATATGGTCTTTATCTTTGTTGGGCCTAGACAACATGCTTAATCCATTTCGGTCCATTTCATGAACCCGATATTCATGAATTTTATTATACATACTAGACTTGTACCCGTGCGATGCACGGGCTGTAAAATTAATTATATTTAGTCATGATATGATATAAAAAATGATACAAAAATTAAAAGATAACAAATTATACTAAAAATACCCAAAATAAGGTAGTGTACAGAAAGGACCATATTCGATATGCAGTGTTATAAGTTTTGGAACACTTCTTTATAAACTACATTCGTAGTTTGGTTCGTTGACGGGAGGTCTTTATTGCAAATCAAGATCTTTAAACCCTCGCGATTTGTAACACGTGAAATTGCAACATAGAATTGACATGAGGAGAATATGATCTTAATCTTTATTTTTTTACTCCCATTATTGTTCATTGCTTTTCTCCGGAACTTTTTTCGCAACCATTTTTTGTCTACAAATTTGTTTGCTCTATAATTCCACTGCATGTAATATCACTGCATTTTTTACAACAAAGTAATCTTTTTTTCACCCAATCATTCCAATATTTTATTTAAAAAATTAATTAATTTTATATTTCATTAAAAATAACAATCGTTTCACTTGTTTCCAAACTAATGAGCTTTAGGAAATCAGTTGACTGTTTTTTTATTTATATTGTCACACTTTAACTATGTTTGGTGTCTCCAGGTATCATAAATTGGAAAACTGGAGGATTCCGATATTTCCTAAATTTGGAAGACTTTAATATGAGGTTTGATATCTCTCTCAGCTATTGACCATTTTCTGCCACCGACTACTATTGTCACATCCAACCACTCCCATTGCTGGTCACATCCGCTTATCACTAATTAAATCATGATTTTAAACATATCTAAAGAACTCTGTTTTGGATTTCAAAATTCATATGATTTTCCCTAGATATTAAAACTTATGTCTTACCATACCTCCGAAACTTATCAAATGAGCCTTTAATGTGTATGGGCCAGGGTTATTTGTATATACGGGATGTAATGTTTTAGCATATAATCTTGTGTAAATATTTTTTTTCAATAAGGAATGTAATGAAGTTGACAATTTCACGAAATTTTACATGCCATAAACCTACGCTTCTTTTTTGTGTGGCGCCAACTGATTGACAGAATTAGCGATTGCATAAATTGTTCATCTAATTTAACAAATTCTATACTCCCATCGACTTAGAATAACATTCAACAATATCTTTTTCTATCTGTCACAAAATAGGGTTAGATATTTCATATTAAGAAACTTTTTGCAACTAACATCATTATCTCTTCTCTACATTACTTTTAGCCATATTTATCTATTCAAAAAATTATCTTCTCATTTATTATTTATATATTTAAATTTTATTAACTATGTTCTTTCATTTAATAACATAATTTTGTCATGTCATTTTTAATTTGTAGATCTTTTGACTTAAACTTTAAAATATGTAATTTTTATTTTTTAATTCTATAATTTTTATTTTCATTCTTCGGGGCCCACATGTTCCAATTTCGGTATTTTTATTAATTACTCCCTCCGTCCCCAAATTGATTACAAATTGGGATTTACGAGGAGAAATATCTACGTTTTGAAATAATTTTATTTACAAATCGGTACACCGATAAGAAACAAAAATTGCATATTACTCCGTAAAAGACAACGTCAAAAGTTCTACAAAATAAGAGGTGACAAGAATATTTTATTTTATCGAATACTTAATAAAATTGCGTAAACAAACAAAAGTTATTCAGAGAAAAAAAAAATCGTAATCAAATTGGGAAAGGAGGGAGTAATTCTTTTAGACCGGTTTTCATGACATTACATGTTGGCCCATTACTTTATTAAGTCCTCAGGTCCGACCCATTTTTGTAATTCGGATATGGTCTTTATCTTTGTTGGGCTTAGAGCCTTAGACAACGTGCTTAATCCATTTCGGTCCTATACATATTTCTTAAAAATACATATATTTATTTAAGTAACCACATGTTTAAATAATAAACTCCAATTGGCAACAAATCATTTCGCACATTATCCTAAACAAATTGTCCAAATACAAAAGTTAAGGCAAGCGGAAAAGTGGGTTTTGTCTTGTTGGTTCTATTCGGCTAAATTATATTATACATCTGGTTGTATCCAATTTTGGGTACAACAAAAAATTATTTATGGTATAAATTTTGTTTTATATGAGAATGACCACTAAATTATTTGAGAATAGATACTGTTTTGTTTCAGAATTAACATTATATTATTTGTAGATGAATATTATAATTATATTGAACCAATGTGTGAAAGTGAGAACTGGATTAAATTAGAATGAAATACCACGCTAATTATATTTATGCGAAAATGAGTACTACTCTATTTTAGAATGAGTACTAACCAAATGTATTGTACATCAGATTGTACCATATACCTTCTCTGAGCTTTGGAGTTAATTCAATTACTTGGATTTGGATGCACATCCGTCTCTTATGATCGAGCTGCGGACAGATGGGATCAATGAACAAAGACACCAACAACAAAAAAAAACTGCACATTATGGTCCTATTACACATGTGTGGATTCTCGGAAAATATAGTCAACAAGCATTAAAATGGCATTTATTTTAAAAAGAAATTTGGCATTTGGACATAGACTCGAATGTACTGGATGTATCAATCAGTCGGAAATTTTGTTTTTTACAAATAGTCCCTCACCCCTAAAATTCACTTTCCAATTTTTTTTAGTGATCAAATTTTATGAATTTTAATTGTAGATTACCAAAAAAACATTAACATTTCATACTTCCTTCAACAATAAACTTCCTAATTACTACGGAGTATTACGATTCTCGATAACTTATGTTTGTATGCATATTTTCAACAATCATTTGATAATATAAAATATTTTTATCACATCTTGTTTGGTCGAACTTCTGATGTCATTTTGAACAATGTAATTTTTACTTTTTTATGATATATCAATTTATGAGTAAAGTACTTTTTAAAAAATGGGATTTTGCACGTAGTTCAAAATAAAAAGTTTATCGTTAGACGGAAAGAGTATAAACTTAATGTTAATATATTTATTTTGAAGCATAATTTTGAAATATTTATTTTTATACAATATATCTATATATAAATAAAGATATTAATAGTCAAAATAATGTGTGGAGTAATAAAGATAGTAAAAAGGAAAAATTACCCAAAATAATCCCAACTTTACCCGGTCTTTCAAAAATAATCCCACCTTTCACTGTGATGCATAATAATCCCAACTTTATTGAAATTTGCCAGTTTTGGGTCGCCGTTAAGTTTCTAACGGAGGGTTAACGGAAATGCCCGTTTTAGGCAACAAAATGAAAGTTGGGATTATTTTTAATAAATTTTTGTTTTTTAATTTTTTTTGAAATTTTTATTTAAATTTTTTGAATTACTTTCAACCTCCATTTCTTTTTCTTTTTTAAAGATTATTCTTACCTTCGAAACAAATAGATATAAAAAATACTGAAAATGAGAAAAATAACTAAAATCATACAAAATTAATCAAATAAATAATGTAATCAATAGAAATTAAACAGAAACTAGTAAGAAATAAGATAAATATATACGGAGTAGTGGGTTTTAACATTTTACACACTATACGCAGTCTTAATGTGCTGCTTATTTTTTAAAAGAACAAGCCGTCCGGTAAAGTTGGAATTATTGTAGATAATTTTTTCTAAAAAGTAAGAAGTGATATGTTAATACTTTGTATAGTGCGTAAAATATTAAAACCCACCCGTATATTTTTATTTTACTTTTACCAATTTCAAGTTAGTTTCTATTGATTACCTTATTTATTTTATTATTTTTGTTTCATTTTACTTACATTTCTCATTTTTTCATTTTTTTTATATCTATTATTTTTATTTTTTTAAACTAAGACTAATCTTTAAAAAAGGAAAAAGAAATGATGATGGAGGTAGAAAGTAATTTTAAAGATTTAAATGAAAAATTTAAAAAAAATAAAAACAAAATGAAAATTCATCAAAAATAATCTCAACTTTCATTTTGTTGCCCAAAACAGGCATTTCCGTTAACCCTCCGTTAGAAACTTAACGGCGACCCAAAACTCGCAAATTTCAGTAAAGTTGAGATTATTATGCGTCACAGTGAAAGCTGGGATTATTTTTGAAAGACTGGGTAAAGTTGAGATTATTTTGGGTAATTTTTCCTAGTAAAAAAGCAAATAAAAAATTAATTCTAAAACAAAGAGATCTGTATTTTTTTGGGCTTTAAAATTCAATTCAAAGAATGGAAGAATATGCTGTGACGTAGCTATGTTGTTGGCGGGTTCGACATCTCCCCTGCACAAACTAATGATGACCACAAATATGCTCTCAAGAGTTAAAAATCCAATTCGAGTCAATTATTTATTTAACTATTAAGGGACTTTCCATTCAATTCAAGACCTAATTTGGTCAATTTAAATCATGTGTATTAGTTACTCCGCATTAGTTTTTGGTTTGTAATTGTTGACCACATTACTTTGTGATTTGTGAATTGTGACAAACAAATAATTCAACATAGCAGTTTTAGTCGATAATTATGCTGTCATTTGTAGAGAGTTCTAGCTTCATATAGTGGCGTGTTACGTCTGTTACTTGTGACGGATCTACAAAAACGGAGGATTGGGGGCAAGAAAAACAGGGTCTGATGGCAGGGCCTCCAATATTTTGCACACAATTTAAAACGATAAAAATAATGTTAAATTTCATTTTAATATTATGAATTGCTAAACATAATTTCTTATTACACACACACAATATATATATATATATATATATATATAGACACACACACACACATATATATATATATATATATATATATTCACATCTTCCTAGTAGGTTCACATCTTTCTATTCTTATTAATGGTTCACCTGCTGGTTTTTTCCAAACGAAGAAAGGGGTGAAACAAGGTGATCCTCTTTCACCTCTTTTCTTCTTAATTAACAGTGAGGGTTTCACAAGAATGATCAACTTGCATATGCATTCCACCTAGCTGCCTGCAGCTACAACACAGGAAATCACCCATTGATCAGCCACTTGGCTTTTGCAGATGATCTAGTGGTTTTTCTCAATGGGGCCACTAGGAATTTGAATAAGTTCAGAAGGATATTAGAGGACCATCAGAAAGGCTTTGGGCTCTATGGTTGTGGATCCCTATGAGCTGTGGAGTATTCTTCAGACAAACTAACTAGAAAAAGAGGCACGGCGCCAAGGAAAAGGATTGGATGAGACACAGAGGAGACATTTAATGAAATGGTGGTGGAGTAGGGAAATTGATTTTCTTGAAACTTCACATGAAGAGAGATATAGACACGACCAGTAAGGCAGTCATAGCAACGATACACTTTTGACAAGGATTCATACTCAAGAAGAATGTAACACTTTGATCGTGGTTGAAATTTGTTGGTAATATTATGACGAAGACACAAATAGGATAGACACTCTAAAATATGAAGAATGGTATAATTAGAAGGAGTATGATAGAGAGCCTCATATGGAGATATGTAATTAAGAGAGCGTTTTGGCATGAGATTGATTAAAAAATTTGAAAGCCGTTTTTGGTGCAACTTTCTCCGAATTGAAATCCGTTTGCAACGTTGCGATCAGATACTTAAACTCTATCCAACGACATAATGTTTATACTGGTTTGAAATACTTTTTTTGTCGTCATATTTTTGGGTGGTTGACTTTGACAGAGTCAAAATTTATTTAATTGACCATTATTCAAAAAGGTTCTCTCATTTAATTTATATTACTTATTTTCATGATTTATTTCAATAAGTCATTTCAAAGTTCACATTATAATAATTTCTCTATTTATCCTTGATTTGAGTTTGTACTCTAGTTCTCAATCAATATCATACAATATTTCAATATATTTGATTTATCTCTATTAGATTTATCGAGATTGTGATATTGGTTATCAAGACATATTTCATTTCGGCCCAAAGCCCAACAACAATTCATTTTAATAAAAACAATTTGATTAATTGAATAATTATTCATTATTAATTCTAGGGTATGTTTTGGGGCGTTACAATCATTATGTAATTAATCCATTTTTTATTATAATATTTTATTAATTAAAACCAGTTTTTATTATAGTACTTAATTCAATTACCATTAATTTTGTATAAATTTTTTGTTTTTAAATTAACATACCAATATATATTCCACCAGTTTAAAACAAATTTTGTCACTATTACAAACTAAAATAACTAACATTATATTCATAGAATCTAAAAAATTTAGAACGTATACGAGCTCGTGCGAAGCACGAGGTTAACACTAGTAGCACGATTTTGGCCGGGTCCTATGAATATCTCAAACCACAACTGCCTAAAGCCAATAAATATTATCGGGACAAAGAAATACTTTCTTAGTACTCCCAACTTATGTAATAGAGGGCAGTTTGGTCTTTATTCCTCCTAATTAGTCTTTGTATCAAAAGCAAAGTAGACAAAGTAATTAAGGATATGGCTCATGTTTTTCATTTTTGTGACAAATTACTTGAAGAGTAATTTTGACGTAATTCTGATAAATGATTTTGACCAGAGATTGACCCGGCAGGGGATGTGTCCCGGGTCAATCTGAGTTTTTCTGGATCGACCCATTTTTTCCTGAGTTTTTAGGTGGTTGGATCGAACCGGTTGTATTTCCGGATCGCGGTTTGACCGGTCAGATCGCTTGATCCGGTTCGAATTTAATAACATTGATTTTGATAAGAATAAGTACTAAAATAAATTGAAGTACTTAAATATAGATGGGCATTAATTAATGGGAGGGGGAGGTGCAGCCTGCAGAGACCAAACCCTCACCTAACACTAACATGACTGACACAACCGACCCCTCTCCTTTTCTTCTCTACCTTCTGTCCTTTGACTCTTTCTTTTCTTTCCCTATCGCTTTCTCCCCAAACACATGAAAAAACCTTTCTCCCGTCACCATTCTCCCGGACCCCTACCCACCTCATCACTCCCTTCCTTCTCCCTCTTTTAGTCGTCCGTCCATCAAAAAAATCGGAAAAATACCATTACTCGTCCGTACAATAATTTGTACTTCAAACTTTGTATTCCAAGTTGTACACTACAGGCGTGTATCTTCACTTTGTGTTAGTATGATGCTAGAGTGATGGTTTACAGAGATACAAAATGTTGGTGTAAATTTTATTAATCGCACTAGCATTTTGTGTTATCCTGGACTATCAAAATTAAATTGTATACTTTAGTATAACTTTAAAGTACATTCTTTGGTGTAAGTGTAGATGATTGATAATTGTTTTGAGATATAATCTCCTACCATGACTTGTCTTGAATTTATCTCATATCTGATCCACTCTGCCACTCATCCCATTGTTATATAGTCTCTCTCTTCTCAAAAACACTTCCTCTTTCATTTTTTTCACTTCCAGCAAAATGCTTCCAATTTCTATTAAAAAACTACTTTTACCCTTACTTTTTAATACCCTACCTATCACATCATACTTTTTTTCTATTAATCAATCCATTACATTTTACTTTTACCTATCACATCAGGGGCAAAACTGGAAGTCAACTTTAATTTTACACTTCCTTATTTTGGCTCCAAGTCAAAGTAGGAAGCTTTTTTGCAAACGGGATGGAGTCTTTCTTCCGTTCCAAATTATTTTACACGTAAAATGAAATTTTAAAATTTTAAAATTTATTACTACCTCCGTCCTGCTATATTTGTCCACTTTTGACTTTTGAAACTGTTCATCTAAGCACTTTGACTCATCAAATTGTCTCAATGTGTAAGCCTAAATATAGTCATGTGTGATCTTGTTTGATTTGTCTTAACATATAGATTATTAATATATAATTTCTATAATTATTTAATATACAAATTACAAGATAAAATGGATTAAAGAAGTGTATTGGATGGTGTGTAAAAATGAAAGTGGACAAATACTCTGGGACGGAGGGAGTATATTTAAATATTAGTATAGAAATTTAAAATAAAGCTTATATATTTAAAAATTATATCAAAAATTTTATAAAATAAGTGATGACAAAAATATTTTTTATAAACTAATTAATCAAAATGCACAAATAAATAAAAAATTTTGTGATTTTTAAATAGTGAAAAGTATATTTCTTTTCGGGACGGAGGGAGTCTACCCCCATCTTAAATCAATCTTTGTACGGAGTATTTTTTTTGGATTGTCCTCAATTCATATTCACGTTTTTTAGTTTCTTAATATACTACGAGCAAAAAATATGAGATCTATATTTTTTATTCTTCTTCCAAACAAATTCCAACCCCTCCTTTTTCA